TAAAATACCAGTGAAGTGGCTGAGGGAGAAGCGTAGGGATCTCCTAGGCCTCCCTTTTCCCTCCACATGTGGAGGGGACAGGATTGGTTCGGAGATCACCTGGCAAATTGTAAATAATGTATGATTTATAAAAGGTGTTTGTTTTACTTTTATTTCTATTTTTATTTACTTATGTGTATATATATTATTTTTTTTCTTTACTCTTTTGTTCTTTCTTCTTATTCTTTTGTTATTACTTTATTTATTTATATTTTTGTATATACGGTATGAATGCAATCTCTGAACTCTATTATAAGTGTCCTTAACTGTGACAAATTGTAATATTTCTGAATAAAGTGTTTTAATAATAACATAACCCAGAACCGCCGAACCGCCAACAGTTTCAAGAGTGGTCAGGTAGGAGCAGTCTAGATATGACGTCATACCTAGACTGCCGAACAGCACTAATAAAATAGATTCCTTTCTATTCCACTAAAGCAGTGCTCAACCGCCAGCAGTTGCTGCCGTGGGCAGTACCAGCGAAATAGTACCTAAACATAGACAAATCATCTCTCCAAGACAAAACAGCTGATGATTCAGATTGCAAATAAGCGTTGCCAAAACAAACTTAAAATCAGAGAAAAACTAAATTCAAATTTTTCTGATTTTATATGAATTAAGTTCTGGTTTTTAAATGATACCTTGGACAGAATGATTATTATGATGCAAATCTATCTTTTTCGGCGATTTTTAAGCAAACACTCCAAGTCAGGGGGAAAAGAGGATGTTGTCCACTGCTACCTATAACTATAAAAAGTGAAAAAGTACATTTTGATAAATATTTTAGCTTCATCATTATTGGTAACAAAAAGTAATATGGTCGTTTTCCTAATACCAAGTGGGCCGCTGTAAATCATTTTACTTCCATTAAATAAAATAATGAGAATCCATTAAAATGCTCTTCAGCTATGATGAACTTTTCCGTTATTTTGACAGATTTAAATTTACATCTGTTGTATGGCGTTATCATACCTTTTAAGCACAAGATAATAACAACAACCACAATGTCAAATTATATTATATGTAGCAGAATATTAATAACTAACGTATTATTATATATAAAACGCACAGCCAAATCTCAAAATTTCGAGAAAAGGAGCTAAGGGGCAGGGGTGCCCAAAAGGGGGCGCCATCAAAATTTTTGAGGGAGACACATTTTGAGGGGGGCACATTTTGATGGGGTCACGAATTTTTAGAATGAAATGTTTCAAACCAGTGAACAAGAAGAAAACATATAACAGACCGCTGTAAGTGTAATTGAATATGATCTAAGATTTTTTAAATTCTACTTTCGCTCGGGCTGTTTTTTAGAAGAGGAAAGCAATAAAGTATCTTGGGAGAGGAGATATTCTTGCACCATTGACCTTGGGGAAAGGTGGGAGAGATGGGTACCTCTGCTAGGTGAGATTCAAAAGTTGGCTGGCACAGGCTTCCAAACTCATTCTCAAGCTACTGAAAAGGCGCTATTCATGGGTAAAACTCTCCTTCAAATTTGTATTTGTTTTGAATTCTGTACACCAGAGGTAAAAGGTTGATTGTCGCACTTTCGAAATTATCCACGATAGGACAAAATGTAATTTTGATAGATTGAATTGAAATTAGATTAAATTAAATTGAAAATAGATCATAATTTTATCACATCTTTGTATAGACATAAGATTTGGTTTTAAATATTAACATTAACAACATTTAAATAAATTGTGAGGATACAGATTTTAATGGATTTTGAAATTATTACGAAAAATCAAAACATCAGGAAACTGTTTTAAGGTAAATCCATTAAAACATATTAAAAAAATACCATAATTAGTAATGAAGAAAAATCAATTCCAATTAATAACTAAATTAGTTAGTTATATATACACATAACAACTAATAGTTCAATTGGTATTTGAATTCGCAACTAATTGTTTTTTAATTTAATTAGCTGTACTTGAAACGGACAACTACAACTTTTAATTGAACAATATTAGTTTGCAAATCAATTAAAAGTTAATTATTCAGTTATAGTTGACGCATGTAACAATTAAATTATGTTCATCAATAACCAATAACCGTACAAAACTTCACTTAGAACTATAAGTCTGTCTGTAAACCTACTTTTTTTTTTTTGTATTTATTTGATTTCTAGATCCATTATTATGCTATCGGTGGGATAGTTTTTTAAAATTTATATTAAAAACGCTCTAATGTTTCTATTCTCTTTGATATCGAGGTCTATCATAGGATTATCCGAGGAGCACTTTTTAAAAATTCTGTCGAATTCCGAATCCGTGATCACAAATCGATTTATTATAGTCCTTTAGATTCTTGCGATATTGCGATTAATCATTAGGTTATTAAAGGAGTAATTTAATCGATATAATTAGGGTCCATTAGGCTTTCCGAGATGTGAAATTCATTTAATTATTACTTCTACAGTATGCTTATATACAGGGATAATTTATTAGGTTCTCAGGGACACAAATTATGAATTTACTATGTGCAGGAGCTTTAATTTACCTTTAAGGTTGCTTAATTCATACATTGATTAAATATACATTATAAATAAATAAAATGACAGAAATAACTTTCTAAAAGCGATTGTGTATATATATATATATATATATATATATATATATATATATATATATATATATATATTTTTTTTTTTTTTTTTGTAACGCTTTAGACCAGGGGTCTCTTAACTAAATTCCGCCTGCAAATACCTCCAATCAGACTCCTGAAATTTTTTTTATTGCATTGTAAAATTTTAAGGACTATTTAAAAAATATGAAATTTAGTAAATCACTCAAATATGTGGTTACTAAAACACTTATTGCAGGAGTTGTTACTCTTAGAAAGGTTATTTCACTACTGAACTTTCATTTTATATATCATTTATATGTTATACATTATAGAACAAGATTTCTTTTTTAATCAAAAGTCATAGTCCGCGGGACTAAGTACAAGTCTCAATGTCAGTCCATGTAGATATTTGGCAATTTAGTCTTCTTACAGGCATATGCTAATAGTCTGATCACCTTGACAGAATAATAATTCAATTAACCTTTACCATCTACAGAAGTTGTAATAAATCTGTGCCCCCGAGGTAAACTACAACTCCCTCATTTTTTTATTTGATAATTTAGTAAAAATTTTTAATAGATCTAATGGAAAATTGACTCACCTTACCAATACAATAATTGTTTACCTCCGAGGTGTAGAAATATACATTATCTATATTCTCTATTGCACTTTGCAAGACCAAGAATAAGGGCGCCTAACTGTTACAAGACCAAGGCTGGTAAGAAAAATCGATTTTTTGAATAAAAATGAAGGCTAAATTGTGACTAATACTTGACAATTTTAGTTACTGTATGTAAAGAATTGGTATAACCAATATACTTTTGCATTAAACAATTCTAATTTTTCATTCGGGCTTAGTTAAGTTTCTTCTATCTAACAAATTACAGTAATATCTCTATAAGCTAATAAGTAACTGCAAGACCAAGCCCAAGACTGGGTACGCAATACCAAGACTCGTCTTGATCTCGCATTTGTGCAACACTAGTTCCTCAATAATAAATAATGCCTAAGGAGCGATACCCGCTGTATATAAAACTTCTTCTTTACAGTATGGACGAATATCTGTTTTAAAACACAAATTTAAATCTTAAAATTGTCCAAGGGTGGCAGTCAGTTTTAAGATTTATATTGCTAACGTTTCAACCCAAGCTTGGGCTGAAAACATCAGAGATATAATATGTTATAACAGATAATAGTTAATAATGATAAATATTGATGTATGAGTAATATTAACAAAATAATACTAATGTAGAATGAACTGAATGAAATACGTAATAATATCTGACTCTCTAAAATAAATGATTATCCATCACAAAATGGATGATATAGCACTTAATGGACCTCCCTTGCTAATATCAATAACCGATAATGCGTTTCATGACATTAATGACATCAAAACATCAAATCAACGGTATAGTTAGTTAAGATTTGCTTAAGTCATTGAAAAAAAAAAAATCAGATAAAGAGGAAAAACATATAAACAATTTTAATAAATTTAGATTCACTCAGATATATAGCAAAAGTTTTAAACAACAATTAAAAAAAATACTATTATAATTATCAAGGCATAATTTTTTAAATAATATATAATTTAATTCTTTACATGATGCATACCTACTACTCTACATCGAAAGTAAACCTGTTACTAAGTTAAAAACAATCCACTGTTGTTCAAATGTGCAAATGCTAAAATTGTAATAAAAAGTTATTATATGCTAAAACTCGAAAATTTTAACAACCTACTCTTGAAAATATTCAACAAGAATTAAACATTATCAAAATCAAATATATTAACAATAATTAAATGAGGTTCTTATAAAGATATAGAATGTGGATCGGATTAGTTATAAATTATAGTTGAACAACAAAAAATAAATAAAAATGGCAAGGAGTTTAATAAATTTATGATGTTAAAAAACTCTTCAATAATTTAGTTTTTCGTACGAAGTTGAAAATATTTAAGAAATATTTACTACAGAATGACAGAAACAAATTAAGCATAGGAATGAGTGATGATATTGAAGAGGTCGTTAATGCTTGCCTAGACTAACGAGAGAGAGAGAATGAGCTGTTGTTTCATGAAGAATGTCTAAATACTTCTGAAAGCAAGGACATGACAAATTAATGCTTTAAATAAGGGAGGTCAGCAACCTATAGGAAACTGAAGGCACCTTATTTACTTTAATAATTAATTTCTCAAAAAGGAGTGGAACTTAATAAAATTTAAAAAAAAAATTGGTTAAAGTGCACACATCACACAACTTTCTCTTACCACCCTACTTGTAATAGAAAATGGCATTTTCATTTATAGAGTTAAAAGATACACAGACTGTTTAATATACAATATAAAACAATTAATTATCATATTAATATGTATCAAAGATGGTTGTTGGGTAAATTATAAGTTTATTTCATAAAATTAAAATGTATTTTGAGTGGACAAGTAGATTCCTCATAAAACACAAAACAACATATTTTCAATTAAAAAATAAAATGAATCAGCATAAAGTGGATCAAGCAGGGAGAAACATCAAAAGGCTATTTTCAATTGATTTTTTTCTTCTTAACTTTATTGAGAAATATTTTAACTTCGGCATGAAACCAATTATATTTGCAATTTACATCAGTTTTTTTTTTTTTTTCCAAAACTAAATTATAACACAGCGGCTTCAGAAACATATATTTATTTTATTCAGTACTGAGATTCTAGACTGATAATACTTTCTGCACTTCTTGAAGTGATGAGAGGACGATGATCAGAATACTTGCGAAGATGAAGAGCATGAAATTCTGAAAAAACACAAGGGATCACCCCCATCATTTGGCAAAACACAGGATCGTACAACATGCATAATACAAATGAAACACTTTTATTATATATTATACACTACATTATATACAAAAATATTGAAATTATTAATAAACAAAACAGAACAAACGTTACACTAATCAGAAAAATATCACAGAGCAGATAGAAACAATACAGCAAAACCAAACATGCAAGTATATCTTACATTTGTTTAGACAAATAACCTAAGTACCTCAATGAATAACTCACTTGTTACCCAAAAAAAATCTTTAAAATACTGTCATGCCCTTAGTATTCCAACTTATATGTAATTATTAAAAAAAAGATTTTTTGTTAAAAAAATAGACTAAATTTTATAGTAGCTGATTCAAAACTGAATACTGTATACAGTAGAATCCCGATAATTTGTTGAGGTGTAAGGAGGTCAATTATGTTATAAATAAGTATACATATTAAACAGACAGCCACTGGACAAAATAAGAGACAAACAAATAGAATACTAATTAATATCCCTTCCCTCCCACCAAAAAAATTGAAATTTTACCTTAATAAACCAAAGAAAAAAAAGTTTGCATTTAAAAAAAATGCACATAATTAAGAAAGCAATATATAAAATGAAAGTACACTAGAAGCTACTTAGCCCAAATATAAGAAATATCACAATAAATTTGTGTTTAAATACATGCATACAACATATGTATGTCTATTGAATTTGAATAAAAAGTAATACATATCTTTGAAGATACAGATTTTTTTTAACCTGAAAAATGTATACAATCTTAACAATGTAATTGTATATGTTCATAGAAGAAAGTGCATACATATGTTGGTGATAAAATTACAATTTATTTATACATAAAAGTATAGCTTAATAGATGTAAAACCATCAAGGTTTTACTGTTTTCTAACTTCGTTTAAATAATTGTTATAAATGGCAATACTTTTTTTATAATCATAAATTATTTTCATTTATCAATTAGAAACTCGTTTTTATTTTCCAGTAATTGATGGAATTTGAGAAGAAAAAAAAGAGTTATAATAGTCTTGCTGTCTGTCACAAATTATAGAGAGTCTACTATATAGGAAAAAATGAAATATACATATATTATCAAAGTAAACAATCAGTCATTATGATAATAATATTTGTTAATTCAAAAATATACTCTAATTCAAAAATAACTCTTTCTGCGAATCTTAATTTTTCTAAATGATATTTTTACATGGCTCGGCAATGAATATTGATGTTACAGAAATAGCTCATTCAAGAAAGTGATGCGTCGTAAATGATATATTCATCATCATCAGCATCCAGCAAAGGCGTGCCATCTTCGCTCCTCAGAAAGGTCGCCTCAACTGCAAAACATACCACACTATACCCATAATTAACGAAACAGTAAAGTTATATTTATATATTAAACAATAGCTATATTTAAAAAAAAAATCAGAAGTAAAAATCTAATAGTTAATAACAAATTATAAATAAACATGACATGCTATCAAATAAAGAAACATTACATAACATGCTGACTCTGGACTCTGGGTTAAATGCTGCTAAGAAGTGACATATTGCACAGGATACCTCCCTTAATTAAAATAATTTGACATCATTAATTTGTTACATTAGTTGAAGAGAAAATAAATCAAATTTAACCACTTCATTTCTGACCATATATTTTAATAAGTTCATCATAGTACAGTAAATATTTTTATCAAAAACAGAACCAGTATTTATTAGGACCAGGAGATGGATTAGATTCCTGAGCAACTGGAACAAATGGATTATTTTATCTAACTATGCTTCAGAGAGCTACTAATAAATAGTTTAATTAAACCCAAAGACTTATTTTTAATAACACAGAGATTTTCATCGTACTTAGCATTCAAAACAGGAATAAAAATCAAAAGTTATAACTTATAAATAATACTACACATGTAACAACAAAACAATAAAACTGTTTGATAAGAGAATATCTAATTTTTAATTGAATTTACAATGCCTTTATCTTGTTTTAAAAGCAAAAAAGGAACAAAAACTAACATGTTCATACAAAAATGTTTGGCACATAATTTTTGTTTACAAAGAAAATAATATAAGCCTCACGAATTGTTAAAAAAATAAATTTTTCTTTGATGAAATAAAAATGATATTATCTGCATTTCTTCATCCACAATGCAAAATTTAAGTAAAAGTTAAGTGAAGGTTAAAAAACATATACCTCAATCACACTAAGTAGAACATAGTTTTACAAATTACATTAAACATTTTTTCTAAATTAATATGCCATTACACTGGTTTACAAACATCAGCGACTTAACATTAAACATCATTATTTACATTTTTTTTGTGCACAAGTTTGTTATAAATTAAAAAGAAAGAAAGTAATCAGCAGATTTAACTCCTTGATAAAGAATATGAGACATAATTTAAAATAAATAAGTGAATATATTAATAAATAAATTTATAACATAAACAAAATAAATAGCACAATTACATGAATACACTACTCCAAATCAATATCATAATGACATTGTGATGTTTAAATATCATTTACCAAATGAATCCTGAAAAAACTAATTTTCAAAATTAGACCAAAAAATCCTATATCAACATAGTTTGTTTGAAATAAAAATTATTTTTCCACCAAAGTAAATGACTCCCGAATTTCCTTTAATCACACAAGAAAGATATAGTGATGTATATACATATACATAAATAAATTAAATTAAAATATAAACAAATAGGAAGCTCACAGTTTCAATAAACAAACTTATTAAAGACAAAAAGGAAAGATATATCTTAAATAAATATTAAACTAAAAATTAATATATTGAAGAAGTCATAAAAACTTTGAAAATATATTAAATACAGAAAGAAAAAGAAAAAACAGAAAACTCAAATCATTTTTAGTTAAACTAAGAAGTGGTGGCATCCCTAATATTAAAGTACAAAACTAAGAAATATTCTGTACATATTTATTACCACTATACAATGTACTACATTTTAGTAAAAATTATTTCTAATTTGATAATAATAATCATACAAAATCAGAGCAGGTAAGTAGCACAGCAGCTATTTATTACATAAAATGAAAAATGGATTTCAGTAACATAATAATATAATTATATCTTTATGGAATCACACCTACCATACAAAATCATAAGTGGATTGGGGTATTAGAATGTTTAACAAATTAATTCAAGTAAATTTACATTTCATTCTTGACTTTTCATTTATTACGGCAACAAAAATAATTATGTCCTACAGCTGTAAATCAAACATCTCTCGTCGGAACAATGAATAGCAAAGGAAATGAAGGGATTTTAAATAGAGTCCGTCAGAAGATTAAAAATATTAAAACTTCCACTGTAATCTGAATATATATTTTTTTAACCAAATAAAATCTTTAAAAAAAAATATTTTATAATTCAATAGACTCCTTTTCCCCTCTTAAATTATTTGATATAGTTTCAAATTAATTGTTCCTTTTTATCCCAAATGTAACCCTTTTGTGTATTCTTTTTTTAATTGTAAGACCAAATACTCATTCATGTTTTTTTTTTTTTTGTTTCAGCAATTTAATGTTTGATCTATATAAACTGTCAAACCCAGTTTTATTACGGATTGTGCCTATTTTCAACATGATTGCCTAAAAATTAGTTATAAATGAACTGTTAGACTTTCGCACAGTGCTATGTAAACCAAAGTGCGACTAAGTATGGGCCTAGTTATTTTAACTAGGCTTAATTGTAAAATCTGTGGATGAAAAATTATATAATAATTAAAATCCATCAAAATATTCCATTTTATTATTAAGTTATAGTAGGTCCTCTTTTTTTTTTTTTTTTTTTTCTTACACATCATACTTAAAGTAAACGATAAATATTAAATTTTCTGTTGTTTGAAGAAAAAATACAGATAAATTCAATGTATAAAATATTTTATGAAAGAAAACTAACTTCTCCTGTTCTATTGTAAACTGCCATTAATGAAATGAAAATAGTCAAAATTCCAGCAAAATGGATGGAAACTTAATATGAAAAGTCACCAATAGAGCTTTAATATTAAAAAGAGTTGCAAGTAGTGATAAAAGGGGAGTGATATAGAGTACATACATATATATATATATATATATATATATATATATATATATATATATATATATATATATATATATATACATACACATACAACCAATTAAACTATAATAGTGAAATTCATTAAATGAAATTGCTATGCTATCCAGCTACAGAGAGTTGGAACAACTAGTGGATTCGGCTATAACCTACAATACCCTTTAATATCTTTAACAGGAAAGTATTAGACTGTAAATATAAACAACACAACACGAAAAACAAATGCCACTAATCTGAAATACTTCAAAGGTTCATATGGCAAAAAGGAAATACGTGATTCATTTAGAATCGGAATTAATACTTGGCCTCACGAAAAAAGAAAATGCAATAGATATGAAGAAAACACTTAAATAACTTCATAAATTACAAATGTCAAATATTAAAAATGTTGTGCACAACCTGTTTGTACGTTCAATACTATTTACAAAATGTTATGATATGAATTAAAATCACAACTTTCATGAATCAATAAATAATACATAATGTATTCAATAAGGGAAATAACAACAGGAACTTATGATCAAGTAGGATAGGAGACAAATACTTCAATTATAATATACATGGTGACTAGGCATTAGTAACATCTATCAATGTACAAATAAGCAGGTAATCATAAAATTACTCTAATGTGGCTAACTCCTGTGCTACTTTGCCCTGCTAGTGGTAGTGCCTCCTAGTCCGTGCCTGCCTGTTATTTGATAGTGATGGTGCCGTACCATTTTTGTTTGCTGCCACGGGGTTCGTAACAGGAGTTATAGAAAATAGCTTTATTCTCATATGATCACAAATCTCATGACAGACCTGGTAAGAATAGCGTAACAGATCTAACAGCACCCAAACCTATAAAAAAAAAAAAAAAGTAAATTATTGATAAAGTAAAGAAATGTGTTAAATTGTTGTAATTGTTTGAGAATGACAACTATTTTTAACAGAAAAAGTAAGTTGTTATTCCTTGCCAAGATATACATACATATTGTTCTATACCTACAATAATAGAATTTCTAGTAATGTGTCAATGTTAAAAGGTTTATTTTTGACTTATACCATTTTGTTATTCTATGATTCAATAATAGATAATTCTTAAATTAAAATTGAATCACTGCCAGTCTTAAGGAAAAATATCCAAAAGATAATAGCTAAAATGAAAGACAGCAACCTTACAATGTGAATTTTATAATATAGTCAATACCTATTCATACTATATATATATAGATAGATACTATATAGAATTTGTTTGATGATTGCTGAATTGAATAGGCAGGAAAGTTACAATGTGAATAATATTATACAGTTTATTCAACTTTGACAATGCTTTTTATATTTTGGTGCTGAGTTACATAATCAGTTTGATGTAACAAATTAAAACCTTACAATGTGAATTGTATATGTAAGTATAAAATAAGAATAATAATGTACAAAAATTCATTCAATGATATAAGGTTTTATTTCAGTTCAATCAACTGTTAGCAGATCAGTCATTTAAAATAATTTTTTAATAAAACCATACATACAGCTAGAAATATAAAGTCATCCAACCATTTAAATAAACAAACATTTAAATTGTTTCTTACATTAAAGATCTAAAACCCCAGGGTTATGATATATATTATTCAATTCAATTCTTGAATCAAAATTGAAAGTACTTTATATAATTCTTAATAGCGGCCCTTTAAATATCTAGATTTTTTAAAATAACTATTGATATACAAAACCATAACTGACACTTTACAAAATAAAATAACATCAACAATGATAAGAACCTTCTGCATAATAAAATTTATTAACTGAAAACTCACTTTCAGTTATTACTCAGAACTGAAATAACTAACTTCTCAACAGTAACTACTACCTCTATATACTAATTTAAAAACTGAACCAACTGAAAGCTTGGCAAAGTTTATATAGCTTTTGAAAGATTCTAGGTCCTATTAGATAATTGAACCCTTGAATCTCCTGTCAAAATAGTTCAATTTAAAGATTTTTTGACTATGTACTATAATTAATGGTATATTTTCTGTTTTTGAATCCAAAACTGGTTCCGAACCATTTAATTGATCTGCATTTCTTAATTAACAAAATTAGATCCATTAAGAGATTGTCTTTATATGGATATAAAAAAATAATAACAAAAAAAAAAATACTTACCAAACAAATCCATAAAACTACATATTCCCGTATAAAAAAATTAAAATATTGATTTAAAAACAGCATAGTAGGGCCAAACAGTGAAGTGTCTAGATAATCCATTTCGTTTCTCGTCATATGTGCTACCTGAAATAAATATATATATTTTTAAAAGATTTTTATTAAATATTAGGCCAAAGGTCACCAAACATACACAGTTTTTACACCATGTGTTATTTATTCGACATTTCGGCTTCAGGGGCCATTTTGAAGATCCTACAAACTAATTTTAATTCAGTTGTTATACTTCAAACTACATCATTATAAAACCATATTAATTCATTAACAATCAGTTATATAAATAGTCCAAATTCTATTTTACAACATAGCATTCTGGTTAAAATTAATGTAACTTTTTCATCTACCTACCATACAGCGCTTCATAAAATTTTAAAATATATCATTATAATATAATTCCTCAGTTTTTCATTCTTTTATTTCATCGAATATCGTTTTTTCGCTTCTTAAAGTTATTATAAATAAAAATTACACTGACAGGCAAAAAATTCCACCCACTTGATTTATTCATCCAAAAATATTTCTGGTTTGGATTGGTCTATTGTTTTTAATGAATAAATAGTTAATCTTTTTGTTTGTTTTCAATTAGGAATGTTAATATAGAGGACAATAACCCTTAATTCTTATTTCAATGAAATGATTCTCGATTCCAATGTTTACTTTCTATGGAATCAAAATGTTTATTCAGTATCATTAGTTCAGTGCCGTTTCTTGCAGCACATTTTTTAGTCTCCGGCTTTTAATTTTTTAAATATTAAGTTTAAAAATGCCTCTTAGTGCTGATGATGTTGCGAGTGGTTTGGCACTTATTGATGATGGATGTTCCATTAGATATGCAGCTAATGCTATCGGAGTTCCATATGAAACTTTACGAGACGCCATCAGGTGTTTTCGGGAAACTGGTTCTTACCATGTCCCCCCGTTTCTGGACGGCCTAGGGTAACAGAACCACGGGATGACCGGTTTTTGACTTTGAGAATTTTACGAAAGCGGCACCTTACCGTTGTTCAAGCGATTCATCAACTCGAAGAAGTTCGAGGTGTGAAAAATTTCTGAACATACCACTTGGAGAAGATAAATGAGTATGGATTAATGGCTTTTCGTCCAGTAAGAGGACCAGAGTTGACCAGAATTCACAGAGTAACACGGCTGGCTTTTGCCTGAGAACACAGCCATTGGACTATGGACGAATGGAGTGCAGAACTTTTTACAGATGAGTCAAGATTCGCTCTTCGATCTCAAGACGGGCGTGAAAGGGTGTGGAGAAGAAAAAATGAAAGATATACAGCCTGTAATTTTTCCCAGAGCCAACCTTTCCAACGTGCTTCCTTAATGGTGTGGGCTGTGATTTCAATGGAGCGCCGCACAGAATTGGTTGTGGTTCGTGGAGGGCCTTTGACGGCCATTTGCTAAGTAGATGAGATTTTGGAACCTCATGTGTTGCCTATCCTTAACGAAATCAGCGATCGTTCTATTCTAATGCACGATAATGCACGCCTACATGTCGCCCGCAAAGTGCAGACGTTCCTTCAACAGAACAATATTTAGGTTTTAGCCTGGCCAGCACGTTCTGCAGATTTGAATCCCATTGAGCATTTATGGGATAACCTCGGAAGATGAATAAGAGCGCGTACAACACTTCCTGATACACTGCAGGACCTTGAAAGGGCTCTTCGGGAGGAATGGGCTATCCTCCAGCAAAGGGACATTTCCCGACTGGTGGAAAGTATGCCGAGGCATCTTCAAGAAGTAGTGAAGGCAAGAGGAGGAAACATGCGCTACTAAACGATGATGTAATTAATTTCTTTTAGAATAATAATGGTTCGTTTTGGAATCTTGGAAACATTGAAATCTAGAATCATTTCATTGAATTAAGGATTAAGAGTTATTGTCCTCTATATTAACATTCCTAATTGAAAACAAACAAAAAGATTACCTATTAATTCATTAAAAACAATAGACCAATCCAAAACAGAAATATTTTTAGATGAAAACATGAAAAAATCAAGTGGGTGGAATTTTTTGCCTGTCAGTGTAGAATGTTAAAATTTTTAAGAAAAGAAAAGAAAACAAAAAGAATATAATTTGTTCTCAATTTATGTACCTCTTTTGTAGACAAAACTATAAGTGTTCTTCTTCACTAACGCATTCATACAGGACTGGATTTTTTTTAAAACGGAATGGAGTGGAGGGGTTAGAGATTTGCTGTTTTATCTTTTACATTTCAGTATATTATGTTTTAATTTTATCTATTGCACTAGCATAAAAAGTGTTTAAATTATATATATCTGTTTGTTGATTTACCGATTGTTTGAGGTTATTAATAATAAATATTGATTCTATTATCCTTCGTTTGTTAATATTGTGTTCTCTATGTAAGACCGACGCTGTACCGAAATCAAATTTATGTCCATTTTTTGTGGTATGTTGGGATAATCCTGTGGCTAATTTTGATTTCGTCGTTTTCAATCTGCAATTTCGTTTATGTTGTTGTATCCTCCATTCAAACAATTGTGAGGTTTGTCCGTTGTATATTTTATTTTCAAAATTCTTGCATTGTATTTTATATATAATATTAGTCAATTTTTTTTAAGGAATAATATCCTTAGTTTTACTAAATAATTTTCCTAAATTATTAATTGGTTTATTCTCAACTTTTATTTTATTTAGATCATATTTTTTTAAAGTGTTTTCTACTTTATTAGTTAAACCTCTGATATAAGTGACAGAATAATACTTTTTTGGGGGTTGGGGTCTGAGTTATTATTCTTATTTTTCTCATAGTGAAAATTTAGATCAGAATTCTCTTTATTATATAACGATATAATTTGAAAATTTTGTATGAAGTGGTGCATGGTAGGTAGATAATTTTTGCATTAATTTTAAACCAAAATATTCAAAAGTTGTTGTTATATAAAATGTTTTTCTAAGATTGGATTAGGACTATTTATGTAACTGATTGTTTATAAATTATTATGCGTTTTATAATGATCTACTTTAAAGTAAAATAGCTAAACAAAAATTTGTTTGCAAGAATCTTGAAAATGGCCCATGAAGCCAAAAAGTTGAATAATAAATACATAATGTAAAGACATGAAAAAATGTAAAACGTAAAAAAAAAATTATCTTTTTTTATTTTATTAGGCTAAAAATATGACTAGAAAATTATAATAGTGAAGCGTGAATATTCATAGATCAGAGGGTAGAGTTCAATTGCTAACATAACAGAGTGAATAAATTATGATTTAAGTATTTTGGATTTGCATTGACTTACCTCATTAATAAACAAATCAGTCAGGGTGTCTACCAAAACATACAGTGGATCAAAAAAGTATTGGCACACTTAACTTTTTTCAGGTTTCATTGTAAAAGAATCCGAAATAAATTTGCTAAAAATTATTATTTAATAAAAGATTTAGAAAAATACATAAGTTGGGTGAACATAATTTAAATTTACTTAATCGAAAAATCACTTTAACACGGTCCAAAAAGTATTGGCACACTTCAATTTAAGCTTTATTTCAGGAACTGGAAATTAATTAATATTTTGTTATCATAACGTTGGCATCTATGACATCCTTGAATCTTCTTGGTATGGGCAAAAAAAATTTTTGAGTTAAAAAGTCTTGTCCAATTTAACACCTTTCCTCTGAAGAAGTTTCTTTTAAATAATTTTTAAAGAAATTTTATTTTTCTTACTTTCAAAACCAACAGGTACCGTCAGTGTTCTATGGTATTTATGTCCAGCTGGAGACATTGTACACCATCCATTCTTTAGTTTTATTTGGTGTGTGCTTGGCATCATTGTCCAGTTGGAAGATAAATGCATCTTTGATCCTTAGATTTTTGGCTATATGTATTAAATTATGTCGTAAAATGTCTATATATTGTTCAGCATTCATAATATTGGCTATAAAGGTTAAGTTTACAACGCCATTCCATGACATGCCATCCCAAACCTGGACGCTTCCACCTCGATGTTTTACAGGAGGCCTAACTTGTCGAGTTTAAACTCAGTGTCAAGTTTCCACTAAGCAAACTTGTGCCCATTAGAATGGAATATGTTAAATTTACTTTCATCAGAAAAGATACAATTTTTCTAGAATTCTTGGTCTTTATTAAATTAACTTTTGACAAGTCTTTTATTTGCAGTCCATTCCTGTAATATAAGGTTTTTTCCTTTGGAACCTGCCATAATAATTGTATTTATGAATTATATTTCTAACAGAAAGGGGTATTTGAAGTAGATGTGACCTCTTCTGCTATCTTGGCGGCCGATAAAGAGCGATTTTGCTCAACAATTTGATGGATATACTTTTGTGCCCTCCCATTTAATTTTGGTGGCCGTCATGAACAGAGTTGATTTAAAACTTTTGTGCTATATTCTGAACACTACTAAAACCCATTTCTAATTTATTCAGTATTTGTCGGTAGCTAAGTCCATTAGAATGTAATTTAATGATTTTTTTTTTTTTTAGACTGACACAATATTGACTGGTTTACCCATGTTGTTATGATAAATATATAGCAAAGACTGTCTTTTCTAGTAGTTAATCCTCATTTCTAATCTCTTGAAAGAAAAAGGATAGGTTTATTTTCACTGGAGCAAATAGTAAATATTTAAAACTGTGCCAATACTTATTAGGCCCTCAAAATTTACTATTTATTTTTACTTTAAACATAGCTTTTGAATTCTGAACATGCATTGCTTCTTAAATATAATACTTTAAGACCACTTTGTTATATAAATAATATTTCAGGAAAATATCTTAATCCTATTGAGATTTGCATAAAAATTGGAATGTGCCAATACTTTTTTGACCCACTGTATTTATAGAATTCTCTGGCTGATGTGTAAGTCATTTTTGCAATAGATATCAACTATTGAATAACACAAGATAAGTTATGTAGATTAATTTTTTATCCTACTTTTAAGATATCAAGAGATAATAAATGAGAAAGAAAATTACTTTGCATCAGTTTATTGTTGAAGGGTATAATTTATTCTCACTTGTCAACAAAGAGAGTAAAAGAAAAAACATTTAGATCCTATTTTTTTTTTTTTTAATGATTTTTATTAATAATCTTCCTTCTTTATAATTAGTATGGATTTAGGTAACTTAAAAAAAATTGAGTATGTGAAATATTTTAGTCCAGGTTTATTGACTGTCATAGATGTTAAAACATAACGTAAAGATGTTTTGTGAGCTCATGTAATAATATCGACTGTGTTTATTTTATTATTATCACATACAAATTGATGAAAACAAGTTAAACCACATTTATGATTGTGTAATCACTACTAAATAAACTTATTTGACAAATAATGATTCTAATTCTTAAAGGAATCCTCACAACTAATGAACATTAGTGGTGAGGACTCCTCACTTTTAGGTTTTTCAGATTGGTAGACATCCTAAACAGTGATTTCAACCATAATTAAAATTATGATTTTCTGTTTTTGTTTTATGCTCCATTGGATAAATTACCTTTAACCAAGTAGTATTATATGTACAATTAATAACACTTTTATTAATAATTTATAATATGAAAGATGATTTATTTATTCCTTCTATAATTTTAGATATTTTAAATATTATATTTAAAACTAATGATATCAAAATATTACTTACAACAAGACGGTTGGTAACTTTCGCAGCAACTAACCCAAAAGCCATTATATAAAGGACGGGATGATTTTCATAAACAAGTTCAGTACTTTTATGACATATTATAAAAGCTGGTACAACAACCAAACTTAATGGTATGATAGGTGACAGTACACTAGTTCCCTACATCAAAAGGTATATATTATATTTAATACTTGAAAGAATAAAATAATTTTTTATATAATAAAAGCATTACTAGAGTAACATGTTGACTGCAAATCTTTCAGATAACTAGTAATTATTAGTATTCTTGCTTAAAAAAACCGTGATATGACTCAAAAATTATTCAAAATGACATAATATGATTAAATTAAATTGGGTGTCAACATGTTAAATATTAACTACAAGTACATCAGTATTTTACTTATTAGAGTACATAAATATAAAATACAACTTAAAAACATTAATTGTTAAAAGCATGCTTAACAAAACAACAATCTATAAAGCCATTAAGTTCATACACTTTTGTTAGTTTCATGAGAATAATTATTAACAATTAAATGCAGCACATCTATCTTTTTAATTTATCATGCAAAATAAACAATGAAATGCACTTTTCAAACAATAAAACAGTAATAAAAAATCAGGCCAAACAAGAAAACCATTCTGAAAACTAAAAAGAAGATGAAAAACTAATACCAAAAAGAAGACATTAAAACACCAAAGATTGAAAAAAAAATAATACAAATGAAAACCAATCAAAGAAGCTATTATGTGAATAACATAGGGACTATACAACCAGAAACCAAAAGAAAAGAAGTGCCTCTATGTAGCTATAATTCCTAAGTATTTCTTATGTATACATTAAGACACATGAATGCTATATTAAAAACAATCGAAAAAGAAAAATCTTTTCACCTTTGTTAGGAAATTCTCAACCTGTGATAAGTAATAATAGAGTTTTCAGATATTGTTGGAACAAAAATACGTTTGAGATATTTTCTCGATACATTTATTTGTTACATAAATTATATAATCACATTCAGCAGTTAACTTACATTTACTTTCACTAATCTATAAATGAAATATATAGTAAGGAAGTATTGCGATCATGAAAATTTTCAACAGAAATACACGTTTTGAGGTCCCCTGAATCCAAATAACCAAGCCTTGCAAATTTAAGGTCTAGTTAAGAACAATCTAGCTCAAAAATAAAAAGTCATACAAAACTGAAATAGCATTTATAAGGTTTGTATATGGTTGCGATGTTACAGATACAGCAACTTTTTCATTAAAATTGGCAAAGAGGAAGTGGCATTTTATATTATTGATTCAACACCTTTTTATACTTTCCACAAAAATCGATATAACGAATTTGATTAAACTAGTTATGCTAATGTACAATTACGTGCTTTTAATATGAGATAGATTTTATGCTCATTGATGTTTTCCAACAGGAATAAATGTGGATTTTTCAAAATTTCTTCCTTTAAAGTACCTTTAATTTTGTTTGTTTTAAAAAATTAACCATTTCACACTGTAGACATTGAATACAAATAATTAAATATAAAAAGTGAAAACAATTGATAATGAACTAAAGAAGAAATAGAGATTGGACTGAGGATCGTACGGGGGCGCTCGGGATAATAGGATGGTAATGTGGAGCCGAGAACTGCCGAATAAATACAAGCGAGACCTCAAGCTTAGTGAACCAGCAGGTTCCGTTAATATTATTTACTTATATATGTACAGTTTTCATAAATGCTAGTGCTAGTATTACTTAATATTAAATTGTATAGATTATGGAAATATAAAAATTAAAATTTGTATAAATAACAGCGTTTAAATGAAAAACATATCCACAATGAAATATAAATAAATATCTGACCTCCTTACTGACACTCTTGTCAGACTAAACAAATTCGTGGAATATAATTATTTATTATAATTTAATAACTAAAATATTCAGTCATAAAAGAAAATAGTTAGTGATGAAAAATGGAGAAATTTAATATATTAGACAAGAAAAAGGTAACTAATTGTTATAAATAATATTTTGTACCATCTGATTTTTACTTTCACTTTCTACCAATTAAATATTTTAATAGTGGGATTCTTTTATTAATGGGGTCCTAACAACTTAGATGTTTTGACTCTAAAACTTCAAATAATAAAAAGACCTATTTTTTGTCAAAGTAGGGTGAGGTAAGTTAAAGTTGTGTGATGTGCACACCGAACCCAACTTTTTTCTAATAATTATTAGGGAAAAATGAAAATGATTGAATATAAATTCTCAGTGAGTGAATAACCTAATTTGAAATATTTAAATCCAATCCACACCACCACTTCTCAATGCATGAGAATGCACTAGTATGTTCTATTCAACTCCACTATTTAAGAGTTTACTCTGCTTTGTGTTCAAAAAGAATTTAAGAAAAAAGAACAGGTGTAAGGTTTGGAATTACTTTTAGCATATAAGCCCTCAAAGTTCAGCATGGTGAACAACATTTTTCTTTATATTAATTAATTGATATACATTGATTTTTGAAATATTAGTTTTAAAGTTATTATTCATTCTAATAAAATAATTGAAGTAGTATATTTTTAGACCAGTAACTGAAACCATGAAATATGTACATAGTATCTTCGAGAGTCAGCCAGTCAGATTCTCTGATCCCTCTCTTAAATATGAAATTGAAAAAAAAAAAAAAAAAAAACGAGAAATGCAAATTACATATAAATAATAGAAATAGAAAATAACTTTATTCTGGAACAAAGTCCCTTGAGAATAACAAAATAAAAAGAATACATCTGGCTTAATTAAAAATAAAAGAATAAATGTAAACCTATTAACATAATGAAACCTATTAACAATAGAATGACAATGCAGAATATCACTGGAGTTTTGGATTTGTGCCATTTTCATCTCAAGCAATACTTCCAACCAACTAGACTGATCAATCCATTTAAAATCACCCAGCCAATGTTTCTCGACATTTTTAGTTTTTATAATTTTTTCCCAGTTATTCCCCGAAATTCGGTGCATTCAAAACTATGGTTTTTCAGACTTTAAACTGTTTTCTTAGCGACCATTTTGAATTTAATATTTGATTGAAACATGTTATTGTAAAATGTTCATGACTCCAATAATGTTACAGATATCAAAACAAAATAAAAAAAATCCGAATTATTGAAAAAGTCAAAATTTAATATATTTCGAAATTAATAATTACTAATAATTTGTTTTTTACTTAGAAAAGGTTAAACATGTTTTCGTTTGATTTTTAAAAATGTAAAGGTATTTTAATGATTGAAAAATAACTTGGTTCATCCAATTAAATATTTGAGGCAACAGGTAACGGTAACAAAAAGTTATCCTGTCTTTCTTTAATCTTTAAGAAAAAAAAACTTCACATCCATTTCTATATCATGAAGAAATTAAAGCAATGAAAAGTTGAAAATAAAAAGGAGTTCACTATTACACAAATAAACATATATTGTTTGGAGTATTATCAGGGAATTTTATACTTGAATAAAAAATAAATAAATAATAGAGAACTAAAGGGTTAGTAATATCCGTATAAGTTTTTTTTTTTTTTTTAATGGGGAGTAATTTTTTATTTATTTATTCAGAAATATTACAATGTCACAATTAAGGACATTTATAATAGTGTTCAGAGAGCACATTCACACTCTAACCGTATAAGTTAAACATATAAATAAAATTATATTGAAATACAGGATACGTGTTCTAAAACTAATACAAATTAAACAATTAAAATATACAAATTTAAAAATATTACTTACAATTTGAGGAGACTCTGACAGTTTAAAGCAGGTTGTTCACTAGAAGGAATAAAAGGACTAAGGAGGAAAATACTGAAAACTATAGCTTATAATTTGTTAATCCAAGAACATTAAAACCATTTGGCATAAATTACAGGAAGTCATCAAAAGAATTAACAGCTGGTTCATTAACTGGAGAATTCACCTCCAATAGTTAAAAGAGGAATTCTTACCAGAAATCAACTTAAGAAATTCTATGATGTTCTGCCAAATTCACTAAACATACTATGAAATGACAATAGAGGATCAAATAATACTTATACATAAACATGAATAGTAAGTGATATAAAGAATGAAAACATTGAATTTTTATAGATATTACCAACATCTTTTAACACAACAGAACTTTCGATAAACGTCAAGTCATCAAAACTCCGAACATTTCTCCAAGAGGATGTATTCTATCATTTTATTGCATGATTTTAAAAATAAAAAACGAACTTTGAATTTGTAAATAAGTTATTCTTAAATTAAATAATATTAAGAAGCGTACACTTTTTTTTACAAAACTATTGCTACGCAGTCATTCACGCAGTCAGTGGGGAGACCTGGCAATGCATACCAAAAGAACCTTTATTGAACAAAATTTACCTTATGCTCAGTAAAAATTTTTGTTTTGAATAATATTTTTTAACTATCTTACAAGCTAGACCAACCTAATATCGTTTATAATTTTTAATAATCAGCTGTTTTCATTTTAAATAGAAAAAATAGAGCATTCATTTATCCAGGAAATAAATAATATTAACAAAATTTTAACCTAGAGTGTTCCTCAAATATGTTGAAGTGAAGGCATGGTATGCTTTTCCAATGAAGTACTATTATTGTTGCACCATGCCACTCCACGCCATCACACCAACCTAGTGGAAGATTAACTTAAATGTGTTTATACTCAAAGTTATAATGGGGCACCTGAACTTAAGGGAATGAAAAATTGTGAAAAATAACTAGAGATTAGTGATTCCCTAATGGACTAATTGAGAATTAAACGATTCAATTCTAATTCTCTGATGATATACAATGTCTTTCTGATCAAAACAAAACTCAATTAAATGATGAAGTATTTACAAAATTTAATTAGTAAATTGTTTTTAAAATTTAATTGGAATGAATTTCTTTCAATATATACAACTTCCGTTCATATTTTTTAACTCTTTATCTTGCCTAATGTTAGTCAACAACACAATAAAAAATAAATAGAGAATAAAGCTACTGTTTATGAACAGAAACAACCACCATTAAAATAATAAGAAAGTATTATATACAAATCGTTTCTAATTATCATTTAAAATAACTGCATATGTTGATTTATAAAACATTGTTAGATTTAATTTATGAATTTATCATGAAGTGATAACCAACAGGATCATTAAAACAGTCCAAGTGAAACAAATAACAAGATAAATAGTCAAGCACTACAAAGCAAGAAGTATTAACAAAGAGCTTAGAGGAAATATATTTCAAAGCCAAAAAATTGATGATACAGGAAGAACAAATGCATGCAAACTCACGGCAATGGATGATCCATTTTTCCCAATTCCTCCTTTGAGAATAGTTGAAATGGTTCGATGAAAAAGATAAACAGCAACTGCACTGCCAACTATGACTTCACACTGTTTTAATTCAGCTTCTAGCCAGGGCAACTGTACTCCAAACACACAACACAATGATCCAAAACAAATAAAAACTACAAACACTAAACTGGCTCAGCGATTTACAAAAAAATATTTTTTGGCAGCTTATTTAATTTCTTTATAATATTATGAAAATTAAAGAAAACTATTGTATGATGTTTCTTTATACAGCTTAAAAGACTGTTAACAGATTTCGGTTCAACAGTGCAACAAAGATCTGGTACTCACAACCATTTTTACAAATTACAGTTAATATAAAAGAAAGAAAATATCCTTTTTTTTAAGGCTAAAATATTCTTCAAAATTGTAACTGTTCATTAATAAAGGAATGTGTATAACATGTTCTATACAACCTGAAATATTATTTAATAGGGTAAAACAAAAATTTCATTATTCACTTACCTATACGTGAAATAAATAGTAAGTATTGTGATCATGAAAATGTTTTCAACGGAAATACATGTTTTAAGGTCACCTGATTCTAAATAATCAAGTCTGTGTTCTGTGTCTGAATAGAATCTAGTTCAAAAATGAAAAGTCTTACGAAACTGAAATTGCGTATTTAAGGTTTTTATATATCAGAAGTGGCATTTCACTTCATATTATTGATTTAACATATTTTTATGATTTTCTTAAAAATGGCTCTACCAATTTTGATTCAACTTGGTATATGAGTGTATTATTAAGTGGCCATTAATATCAACTAGGTCTTATCCACATTGATGTCGTCTTACAGGGCTTAAATGATCAATGTTCAATATTTCTTCCTCGAAAATACATTTAATTTCGCTTATTTAAAAAAAAAATTAACTGTCTCTTATTGACAGTAACAATAAAAAATGGCTAAATATAAAGTATGAAAGAATTTGATAATTGACTAAAAGAGAAAAAAGTAAAAATGTTTTTGAAGGTTGAAAATGAATTTCCGGAAATAACAGATTGAATGTATATTTAACAGAAACTACAGGTTTCCAATGAAATAAAATGAAATTTATAAGCTAACTATAAACTTCTAAGTTTGAAAAAAAAAATTGTATAAAATCCACTGAATCAAGGCAATGACATTTTTAAAAAAGCTATTTCATTTTACTTGTGTAAAAGAAGAAATGCAATATAAAAACCAAAATATTTAAAAACAGTGATATCTTTACTAATGTTCTGATTTTGATAGAACTTTTTTTGTATTTTACGAAATTCGAATACTTTTGATACATCTGGTAATAAAAATTACAAAAAAATATATACTTCTTGAGTTATTCGGAAATCTAAATATACCACCCCTCGTAACTTTTCTCAGCTTATTATCGTTGAAGTATGTTATATAGATAAATTTAAAGGTCATCGAGGAGAACACTAGCCAAGTTTCATTCAAATTAGTACATTTGTTTAGTCAAACAAAAAAGGTTTTTTGGCTGCCATATTGGAAGGAAAGGGCAGATAGTAATGTTGAAGTAGGGTTATCCTCGGATAACCTCTGACTTTGATTCCAAATTTGAAAAAAAATTGGTCCAGTAGTCTCGGAGAAAAGCCGAGAAAGGAAAACAAATTGTTTATTCTTTTTTCAAATTCTACGTATCGTGAAACGTAAAACCTCAAATTTTATGGTGGGAGGGGGTTTAATTTTTTGGATGGTTACAATAATTCATTATTGAAAATAATAAACCAAAATATTTTATGGATGTATAAAACATGTGTTTATAACCTTAAATACATTTACTGTAGTTTAATAACTCTAGATCCGATATTATATTTAAATAATTAGGTATACGTCTTCGATTTTTTCCAAAAAAAATGTATTCCCTTTGTGAAATCACAACATTATACACTTACAATTAGTGTGACGACTTTTGATCTATAAATGCTATATTTAAAAGCACATACTTTGGTGAATTTTCCAAGTGTAAAAAATAAGAATTTAAATACATATAAAAAGTTATAGAGATTTAATAACAAAATTTTTATTATGTAGTATGATCCTTAGTTATTCATAATTTAATATATGTACTTTCAAATTTCTCTTAGTCTATAGAACTGAGAGAGTGGAGTTATGTGGTTCAAATAAACTGATACAGTTATAAAGTTTTTATTGCATACAATCGATGTAATAAATAGGGTTAACGTTATTTTGATGAGTTTTTGTATTGATGAATATGACCAAAATTCATAAATATGCTGTTAAAGGTAAACCTTGTAAAGGTAAAGCTGCATTAAAAATGAACTTCAAAAACTTCTTGTAATAGCCCAATTTTTCTATAAAAAAATTGTTTTTCGAAGTAAAACGATTACGGAAAGTTGTGTGATACATGTACCAGAATTTTTAAATCATTAGCTAGAAGAGATGAAGTTGAATTTGGACAAAATCCAAACAAAGGTGGAAATTTATTTTAGGTCAAATATGAATATGTTGAGTTCACTCCTACAGCTAAGTGAGTGCTAGTGTTGAGCACACAAAATTAACTGAAAAAAGGTATTTATTCAGTTTAAAAAAAAAATAATCTATCTATCAGAGTTTTAGGATAATAAATGCTGTGTAAAATGAGTATCAATTATTATATTATTCATAAGACAGCTGGTTGTTATTATTAATTATTCTAATAAACTATTTAGTGAGCATTTATAATTTCAAATTTTCCTTTTTTTCTAAAATAATTCCTTCCTTTACAATTAAGAAATTTTTTTCTTTAGAAATATCACATTTTTTTTTTAAATATCGTTTTATTTTTCTAATGATTTATTTTTAACATTAAATAAATGAAGATAAAGCAGCTGGATATAGAATCGAGATTCCAACTACTTACTTTATGTTCATGAACTATCTTTGGAAATTTGGAAATAAAATAAACTGCCATTTAAATGTGTAATGAACTTAATAATAGGGCAATAACATGCTATGCTGTGTATATAATATAATAACAAATTAGACAAATCAAAAAGGTGTTGAGAAAATAACAAAATAAAGCTACTAACGAAGCAAGCAAAACATCTCCCTTCAAAATGTATCATCTGAGGAATTCCATGCTGACAAAGTGGTAATAAAAATAAAATATAATCAACGGAAGTAACGGACGACTAATAAATTCAATATGAAGAACAGTGTGACTCATGCGACATTAAGCTAACAAAACGTTAAATGGCTTGAGAAAGTTGCCTTGTTTATTGTTGTTGTTTGGTTTGTGACTAAAAACTTACTGCAACTGTAGAACCATTCTTTCCAACTCCACCTGTCCAAAAAATGTGACAGAATTCGAGGAAGATTTGAAAGAAAGCTATCAAAAAAATGGTCGCCACTCCCTGACTGCATGGAACTCCAATATAGGGTATCTAGACATTTGCAAATTATTCAATTATTTCTTATATGATTATATTAAGCTAATGAACCAGAATGCCGATTATCCTGACTCACCTCATATGGTTTCATCTGGATAACCGAATTTAGGGTAATTTATGAAAAAATAAAGTTAAAGAAATTTTGTACAAAATGAAGAACGGCTTTAAAGTAATAGGTAATGTAGAATAAGAACTATGAATTAAATAACAAATCAACGATATAAAGGTTAATAAAAAAAAATCATTGACTTATAATTCTACTAAATATGCTGGAAGATCGAAAATCAGATATCTCAGCCAGTGTTTACCCTATTAGTAATTCACAGCTTGTGGGACTGATGTATTTTATTTTTTTTTTTATACAAGAAAAAAAAGAAATGGAAAGGTTAATGAAAATTATTGAATAATATTTGCTAAAACAGAAATATAAAAATAAAGTATTTTCGGTATTGAAAAACATTGTTAATTCCTAATAACATTTATAAACTATTACATAAATTAAAAACTGGTACAGAAATAATGCTGGGTGAAATAAGAAATTTCTAATTCTCTATAGCAATGATTGCAGGAAAAGTAATCAATAATCAACAAATAACATAGTTGAAACTCACAATCAATAATCACAACGGTGCTTATATTTCAGGGGACCAGCATAAATGTTTTATTAAAAATAGAAATACACAATTGCTAAATCTAAAAAGGAACAAATTAAAAAAAAAAAATTGACTGTAGCTGTTTTGTATCCAGACAGTACTGGGACCAACAAGAAAGGATAATTCAAATAAACGAAGATCAATATGATATATATAAAATATATAAAGAAATTAAAAAGTACAAGACTCTTCATTAGACAAAAAAAAAAAAAGAGCTAATAAAAACTTATGTATATTTAGTAATAAAATAATTAGGAAAATCTATTCTTAAAAACTTATGATTAACCTAATTCCTTATAAAAAATAAATAACTTCATATAACCAAAACAACGCATGTAACATTTGTTTGTTCTCTCTATTGGTCTTAAAATAGATGTACATTAAGCTGTACTTATTCCCAAGAATTAGAAATAGAAATACATAAATAAAAGCTGACAATATTATACTAAAACTAGTTATTGAATATTCCTACAACATGATCATTAATCAGTTCCACGATAAAATAATTTAAAACTAAGTGGAGTTTAGATAATAGGCATTCTGAATAAAAGGAGAAATTATAATTCCATCAGGAGGAATACAATTTGAAGCCTCAAGATTCTAAGGATGGAATAGAACAAACAAAAAAGTGAATAGTACAAAAATATGACAAAATGAAAAAAATACAATAATAGAAACCTCAAAAGTAGTTAGACAGAAGAAAAATGTGTTTAAGAACCAATAATACAATAACTCAAGAAGAAAAAGTAAACAAAGAACACACAAGAAAAATATAAATACCCACGAACTTTGATAAAAACTTAACATAACACCATCATTCATTTCAGGTTAATTTAAACAATCAAGGACAGTAATGTTAAATTAATTTTCCATTGCAAATCATTTCACAAAATATTTAGTAGGTAAAAGACATTTACACAAATTCAACCATTCCATTTCGTTCATATTTGTTCAGCAACTTACTGCGACTGTTGAACCATTTTTTCCAACTCCTCCATTACATATCACTATCAAAAGTCTGTAAACAGCAACAGAACCACAAGCTAATGTCATCCCTGGAATCGCGTGATAAAGTTCAACTATACCACCTATAAATGGTATCTGCAAAATAAATGAAAATCTGAAAAAAGAAAGAATCTAAACACTGAAAATGGTTACTGCCTAATTAGGAACCCTGGAAAAGAAATCAAATAAAATTCATTCAAACTTTCCTTTTCTTTTTTTTTTTTAAATTAAAATTAAATTTAGTAAAATTATATTAATTAAATAAAAAAGACCTTACCTTCCATGACCATATTTCAGGTCCAAAAACAGCTGATATCAAATGAATAATAACAATGGTAACCTGAGCTTCAGTCACATCAACTCTACCAAACTTTACCGTACCTGAAAAATATATATTTTTTAAATGTTAATGGTATAAAAACAAAATTAAAGAATTTTTGATGTGCTAAGGAGAGTAATTATCCACTAATTTTAGTATTTTTTTGTACAACATATCATATCTTTTCATTTCATCATCCCTAGCAGCTTATTTTATTTTTAAATCTAACTAAATTGTAAAGTATTGCAACTACTTTTGGGAATCAAACCAAACTTGATCACTTCAAGTTTTAATATCTTTATTAATAAAATTGTCATCCTTTTAACTTTTTAACATAAACATTAAACCGGGTGCTTAAAAGTTTCTGTATTTTAAGAGAAATAAAAGTAGCAGAAGCAGGAAATCACATTTGCCATAATTTACTATAATTTTAAAAAGAAATCAAACGGAAATGAAAGAATTCATAAAATTTGTCAAAGGAGGTTGTTAATGAATACAAATTCATATAAATCACCCCAGGAACCATTTATATGAATAATCTTTAGCTTATAATTTAGCTTGGAATAATCTTTGATCAAACCCTTTCCTGGAAAAACCATGTGTCCAATATCTCCCGACGTACCTTTTCCACCCTAAAACACTTAAATAGCCTGTGACACCTTTTTCCTTTTGAAATCCGTAGACTCCTGGTCACCTCCTTAATATTTTCCCACTTCGACTATTGCTGCACGATATATGGAGGTGTCTCTGGGGATCTCGAGGCGAAACTAAAACGTTTGATAAATTGCTTTGTACGATTCATCTTCGGGATTCCAAGAGACGCCCCTGTTTCCTGTTTCTATGAATGGTTGAAGTGGCTTTATCCTTCCTACTGTCGTAAGTATTTCCTGGCATCCTTCCTCTTCCAAGTAATTCACTCCCGCCGTCCTTCATACATCGCCGAGCTCCTTCAATTTAAATCCTCTGTCCACTCCCGCAATACCCGTTCCCGGTCTTCAGATTTATATATAATGGCCCACCGAACCGCTGCTTTCGATAAATCTTTTATTATTCGATCCCCTTCCCTATGGAACTCCATCCCTCCCCACATCCGTCAATCCAAAACCCTTCCTACCTTTAAATCCCAACTGTTTAATCATTTCTTATCCATCCAGTCATCATAAAATTGTAAATAGTTACTACTGTAAATATGTATATAAATTATTAGATCGTTCTATATTTTTTTTACTCCATGTTTATTTTCAATTTTTACTTTTTATTATTAGCTGATGTAAATTAGAAAGTAACTTATAATTTCTCTTATTATTATTATTATTTTTTTTTTACTATTTAATCAAACTATATTCTTCTTTATGTATTTCTGACGCTCCTTAGCCCACATCTTTGTCTCTCTGTATTATTCTAAAAGGACTCGTCCCAGAATAAATAAAGCATTATTATTATTATTATAAAAAAATGACAGTTTTTCAACCAAATATTTGTATTATCCAAAATACAATTAGCCAGTCTATTAACTACCTCCTGCAGTGCCACATGCTATGACCTGATGAAGACCTGCAAAGTAGGTCGAAACGTCGGTGTAATAATTAAAAATAATATTTTTTTAAAATTAAGTATTTATTTGGCCGTACTCAAAGTAAAGTCCATTGTTATCTACTGCCATTAACCATATGCTAGCCTATTGCTCGATCACACACTGATGCCATTTTTTGGGATGGCCGTCAAAGAACTCTTTGACTGCAATTTCAACTTCCGCAAAATTATCAAATTTCTTCCCTTGAAGAAAATGGGTCATGGATCTAAATAAGTAGTAATCCGATGGTGCGAGGTCTGGACTATATGGTGGATGAGGTAGACATTTTTCAGGCAAGGGTTTTTCCAATACATTTTCACAAATTTCTAGCCTCTTAGCTGATTGCTGAGAAGTAGGTTTGTGAGGGACTAGTTTACTGCACTTTTTTACCTTCCCAATGGAGAGTAGATGGCGATTAATAATGTCTTTGGACACAACACACTCACTGACAAGTTCGCCAGTACTTGTGGACGGATTTGACTCAACAGCTTCCTGCAAAACCTCTCATCAATATCCATTAATGGTTGCCCGGAGCCCTTCTTTCTTTCCAACGTCATATCTCCACAGCTAAATTTTTCAAACCAATGATATGCAATGTGCTTGTCAAGGACACCTCCTTCATATTTAATAATTTCAGGAGTTGCTTCAGCAGCGGTGACATTTTTTTTTTCCAGTAATGCCTTAAAATTACAAGAATTTCGTAAGACACTGTCATGTTTCTTCTTTGAAACAATTAACTGAACTGAGGCTTTTTTTGAAAAAGTCTAAACAAGCTTAGAGAATGCTCTAAAGAGATTACTGAGTATTGGTGAGTATTAAAATATTTAGTCCTTTGAAATCTTGAATTTGATAACACAGTAATTTTTTTTTTTTATACACTCTATTATTTGGGTAGATTCCTAATTTTACCATACTAATAATATTTTTATTCAATTAGAGAAAATGTAAACTCAACTTAATTAATATAGACTTAAAGCTTATCAAACAAGAAAGTTTTTCCGAAAGTGTGGTACCTTCAGTCTAGTTTGGGGTTATAAAATAAATTCCGAAGAATTCTTGATTTTATGAAAAACTGAATTTACCGCAATTTAACTGCTTAAAAGTACCCTTTAAATTTCAAGTTTTAAAAAAGACAAAATTTATTTGCATTTAATGTAGAGTTAATCTAGTTCACTATGAAGTAATTGGTTGTAATCTAAATTAAACCTTTTGTCAGTTATTGCTTTTCATTCAACATAAAACGCGGTTGGCTTAAAAATTACAAAATTTAAGTTTCCTTGTTCTCTGTATGTAATCAGGCAATGGTTCCCACTAACTTTTTATAAGCTTTAATGTCTTCTATTACATACTATCAATTATATGAAATTAATATCAATCTAAACTTTGTATCACTATCACGAAATTCCCCATTGATTGATATCGAATATAATTCTGTTGTCAATGACTTTTAAAAATCATTAAAAGAAAGAAACTTTGAATAATAATTTGAACAATCGAAAATCTTAAAAAAACTGATTACGAGTGATTGTATCTAACAAATGTATAGGGTAATTTTTAGAGATTTTAAACTAAAGCAGTTATTATTAAAATAATTGTGGGTAAATGGTTGACTGTCATGAATAATGAAGAGAAGAATAGTTGGGGTGATCAGTCAAATAAGAAGGCAAAAATTATTATAATTTATTTTTGCCTTCTTATTTGACTGATCACCAAAACTATTCTTCTCTTTATTATTAAAATAATATTTAACTGAACAATCTTTGCGAAAAACCTCTTAGTTTTTGAGGTATTCTCAAAAAAAAACTAAAAAATGTCAGTTTTCTGTCCTCCCCTTCCCCCATCAAAACCCAATGCGGGATTCTATGGGACCTATTTACCAGTTATTATGGAGAGGGAAATGAACAGTTTCTGACATGTTTCATCTTTATTTTTAATGTTGGGGTAAGGCTGTTTTTTTTTCTCTTAGCTTTACTGGATTAATAGAGGTGAATGAAGATAAAAGAACTAGAATTTTCTAGTTAGAAAGAAAAAGATTTTTAAAAAAGTTACAATATTAAATAATAATCAACTAACCTGACACATAAGCTTGCCAGTGAGCACAATAAAACAACGTCAAAGCACAGAAACATTGGAAAAACATCCATGAAGGATAAGCACCCAATTGAACAGAGATACATGCAGAAACAGCTACAAACACTGAAAACAGAAAATTTACAATACAACAAAAATTTAAAATAATTGCCAAGTTTACACTAAGGTTATGCAGTTAAATTTTAATTTGTAAACGTTAATGACATTTAATCGCATAATTAATATAGTAATTTATTTATATAATTTCTAAATATCTATATCTATGATTAATGTATTGAATCTTTACAAAATGTAAAAACATCAATTCACGCAAATTTTCAACTTTTTAAAGAAACTTTTACTCTCTTCTACTAAAATAGTGATGCATAAATATGTAAATAAATTCTCACAAAGATAATAATTTATTAAAAGGTGTTTGCAGCTGTGCCAGTCTTTGTCTAAGCCAGCAAATTAAATGTTCTAAAAAGTTTATATTGAATCACATAGAATAAATGATATAGCTGGAAATTTATTACAACCATTTATTATTTTTTAAATTGGTTCATTAGATTTCGACATTGGTGATTAATGAAGCCAATACTAAACTGATGATGAGGCATCAGCAGAAAAAATTAAAACGAAACTCCAATGATCAATGGAAATTTACTTCAACATAATTAATAAATCTGAACATACAAATAGGAAAAAAATATTTGGTGTTCTGTGCATAACACAACTTTCATTTGCTTATATAAAAGAAACATTATAACATCTTCACTTAAAACAATTAATTATCATATATTTTTCCCACACATCTAATCTATTAAATTATTCTACTTTTCATCACAGTACATTTCCTTCTACGGTTGTATATATTTTAATTATTAATTTAGCTGGTGGTGCTGCATATATTTTTTTTTAGTCCAGCAAGAGTGTTAAATGTTTCATCCCAAAAATGATATAGCCAGAAAAAGGTGGCATGGCAAAAAAGTTTGGAAACACCTTGTCTATAATACAGTACACATGTGAGGAGTCGTTTTATCATTGATATTTTATTTTACCTGGCTTGCAACATATTTTGTGGACTGAGATGATGCATATTTAAATTTGGTTGTCACGTGCAATGAAATGTGGGTCCACCATTACACACCTGAATCTAAACAAGACATTCATTGTTTCGCGTGCCTACTTTTTAATTTGGCCCTAAAATATGTAGTGAGAAGATCTGGAATCTAGGTTGGAGATTCAATTTTTAATAGAACTGGAATGATCCTTGGGTTCGCAGATGACATAGACGTAATGGGACGAAACTATGAAGCAATGAAAGTCATATTCTTGGAGCTGCGACGGGAAGCTGAAAGAATGGGTCGCGTTATTAATGAGACAAAAACAAAAACAAAATATATGACCACAGCACCCCATGGAGATGCATGCATACATATTAAGCCACACTCCTTCGAGCGAGTGGAAGAATTTGTGTATCTATGAACACAAGTGTATTTCCATAATGACATAGTACAGGAAATACAGCGCCAAATTTTCTCCGCAAACAGATGCTATCATGGATTAGCTATGAATTTCAAGAGAAGAGTAATATCGCGAGCCACCAGGATCTGACTGTATAAGACATTGGTAAGGCCAGTACTCACTTATTACTTGCAATGCCTGGACCACTACTAGGAATCAAGAACAGGCCTTGCAAAAATTTGAGAGACGGATCATGGGTGCAAGACATGTAAACGGAGTCTGGAGACAGCAGACTAAAGCTGGCTTAAGGCAGCTATAAGCGGATGCTGATGTGGTGATCGTTATAAGAATGTCTAAGGATTAGGTTCCAAAAAGTATCCTCTTAGAACAAATCTTTGACTAATGAAGAAGAGGAAGGCCAAGTTTGCGGTAGATTGATGGCATATCTACAGATGCACGGTCTATGCTTGGGGTCCAGAACTGGAGGACAGCAGCGCAATAGAAATGATTCAGGGTCAAAGTTGTAAGAGGTCTTGTCTCCAAGCGGGATGTAATACCTTACAAATAGAAGAATCCAAACAAGACAGTAAGAGTGGAGGAGGAAAAGGGGGGCAGCCTCAATGAAAGCAAAGATTTATTTGTTAGCAAGAAAGATTCTTTCAACCATTTTTTGACCACACCGATTTTTTCTATGAGGGGTACTGAATCAATACTGCTTACTACTATGAGCTGTTAAAGACCAATCAATTCAAGAGGTTATTCTCCTCCACAATAATATTATTTCCACATTGGAGCTCTGATGGTATCCAAACTACAGAAAATGAACTAGTCTCAGCTTTTCAACTCAACTGATCCCAACTCTAGCAAACTCCTTACAGGACGAACCTACCGCCCAGCAATCTCCATTTGTTTAGATTTCTTAAAGAAGTTCTAATAATGATATTTTTCATAATGATTTGAAGATGAGGGCATGGATGGATTTGTGAACAATTGGCTCCTGAAGCAAGCATCTTCATTAAACGATGCAGCAATAAAAAACCTTCCTCCATTCTGGAAAACTATGAGAAAAATTAAAATATAATTGTAGAGTGCTACCAATGGGTAGTTTCTCAACAAGCGTGTTTCATGTGATAATATTCCTCTGTACACATTTACTTGATGTATTCATACTAATACAGTTGTAAATATCATAATAAAAGTTTTAAAAAAATATATAATTGACTTTTATAATTCAATAAATGATTTCTTTAAAAAAATAAAATCCTTTTTATATTTGATTCATCCTCATATCAGGTCTATATAAATATTCGCATGATTTATTGAACTAAATGTTAACTAACTAGTTTTTTTTAATAATTTTCCCTACTGTCAAATAACATAGAATGGTACTTAAGTTTATAATGTCAAGATTACCTTTAGTAGGAAAAGTACCAAAACAAGACCAATTTTTATGTACATTTTATAAATTGTAAATGTCATTTAAATAAACTTATTATTATTATATTGTCAATTAATATCACAGCTATCGCTGTCATTGGCTTGAATCGGTGGATTTTAATTACTTTTTTAAACTTAAAATTTTACATTTATTAAGTAAATATCATTTAATTTCCCGGAAAACATGTGATTTCCGTGAAATAATATTAGTTTCCACAAATTATTATTAATAATTTTTCATTACTCTCCATTACCTTATATGACTTTCTACACTAGATATTGTTTTTTCTAAAATTATCCACTTTCTAACAATACGTATACCTTTTGACTCCAACAATATTATATAAACATAAATAGGTGGTATTCATAAATGCTATTGTTGGTATTATTTAATATTTAATTGTATAGATTACAATAATATAAATATTAAAATTTGTATATATGAGCGTACTTATACAAATAAAAATAACCACAATGAAATATAAATAATTGTAGCGTCTATAATTTTTACTTTCACTTCTCCTTTGTCTGAAAATACTTATTTCAGTTAAGAAAAGGGTGGTAAGTGAAAGTTGTCAGATGCACGCACCGCACCAGTTTTTTTTTTGTTATTCCTGACCTTCCCATTTCTGACATATGGGGGACGGTTGACCGTTCTAAAGGTACAAGCAAACTTATTCTAACCCAACTGAAAAGTTCGAGATTCATTCCATGGGTCCGCCACAAAATAAATTATACCCACTCACGCTGGATTCGAACCAGTGCTGCCAGAATTGAGAATGTTAAAGGAGGCATTGTCTCAACATCGTCAGCCATCACTCTTAATTATTTGGGCTTTGAGAAATATAAATACAATTTTTTTTGGGGAGGTATAACTAGGTATAACTTCAACCACCAACAAATCTCCCAACTATATTATCTAGGTTCAACTATTTATCCACCGTTGTTAGTAGTAATACAACTAAAAAGATAGATACCTGTGGAAACTGAGTCACAACCATGGTCAAATAATTCACCAAGTGGCGAAGAAGACCCTGTTCTCCGAGCTTGCTTTCCATCAATAGCATCTAGGCTCTGGTACGCAAATAGACCAAGGGCACATAACACATATGTCCATCTAGGAGCCTAATATAGAAACACGACCATTAAAGATATATTACAATATTTATAACAGCCAATAATAACAAATTATTTTCAAAATAAATCAGAATATAAACACTCCTTCTGATCTATCTCAGAAATTAGATTGTTAAAAGAAAATAATCGTCTTATCCAGATTAACAGAAAAATTAAAGAATATAGATACTATAGTTTGAATTTAATCAACTTTTCTTTTCTTCTGTTTGTATGTTATACCAATGAGGAACTCAAGATCATCTCAATGTAGGATGCTCTACAGCAAAGGTAGCCCAGGCAATAAAGGTTAAAAATGGCCATATTTCGAAAGAAATTCTGGACCAGCTGAATTTTTTGTGAGTTGTTAGAACTAGCAAATAGTTACATTTACCCAAAAGTCCCCACCCTTTCTCTTTCCTGCTAGGCTCCCTTTCGAGACTATTAGTATTCTCACAATTCAGCTACTTATCGTTTGACATTGATACGGCTTGATTGTTTTATTTCTCTAAATTTATAATTTGAAAATAATCATATTATTTGTTAGCATAAAAATAATACTTTCAACAGAATGTTCTAAAATATTCAAAATTGTTGAGCTTTATTTCATATTTTATGATTTTCTTTTTTTTTTTTAAATAACATTTTTTTTTTCAATGTCTGAAAAATGTCGGATAAACATTGTAGCTCATTTCTCGTTGTTTCAAAATGAGAAGTTAACATTACATTTGGGTGGTCAGGAACACTGACAGATAGCAAAGTATTAATGCGTCTGACATTACGTCATTTTTTACTACCCTATTCTTACAAGTATTTTTCAACTTGTATGTAGACCTCCCCTAATTAAAGAGTTAATGGTATAACCTACCAAGATGACCAGCCGTACTGCCAAGAATTGATCTTCTGATCTTTGCTTTACTAGTATAGCTAAACCAGCAAATATGAAATTAGTACTATCTTTTAATACTTTCAATGTCAGGTTTTGGTTGAAGGGGAGGTGTTTTGTTATTATTAGGACCTGAAATAAGATCTACTTTTTTTTTTTTTTTTTTTTTTTTTGTTGTGGAAATTGATGCTTTATTTAATGCAAGAGGCATAAAACATGTCACTCAGGGGCAGGGTAATCGAGCAGACTAACACATGTGGAAAATAAATATACGTTGCTCAGCAACCTGATAAACTAAAGATTACTAGTTCAAAATTCTGGAGCTGAGGAGCTTTTAATTCTAGCATCAATCCGCTGCCTTCACTCCTGGCTTGGGAAAACCACTTATAGCCGAAAAGGCGAGGAAGGGAAAAAATAAAAATAAACATATGTATAAATAAGGAAAAGGATTAAGAACAACTCTTGATACAGTTAGTGTAACAATGGAAGAGCCATAAGGATGTTCTAAAATAGGACAATAGTAAAAATATGGAAATATAACAAATTACGGATTTTGCTTATTTGAAAAATTTTTAACAAGGCAATAATAACATCAAATTTAAATACATAAATTACATAAAAATGTTAAGATAAATAATTATAATAGTATAAATGTACAAAATAATAATAATTGTATTGTAGAAAATTCCTGAAAATGTAACCGGATTTTATAAAAATAAAGTAATTACACTAGGAGAAAGAAATAATTTTCATAAACTATAAAGGAACTAGAATTATCCTTTCTGTATAGAGCAATTTACAAAAAAAAAAAAAAAAAATAAATAAAAGATGTCACTCATAAGTTTTCATCGCTTAGGAATAGAACGACTTTCTTCCATTTTTCTAGCAGCATATGAATTTGCAGTTGGAAAAATGACTCGTCCTTTATGACAATCACCATTTTGTACCAATTTTTTTTCTTCAGCCACGCCAGGTGTGCCATCAAACAAAATAAGTCGTAAATGGAAGGGGCTATAACTAGTGAATAAGGTAGGTGGAGCAGGACTTCCTGTTCAAGCATTTTTACCAATTGTTAAAATCAATCACATTATTATCAACATTGCGTTAAAACCGATTACAAATGCAGAGAAGAATTTTCTAACCATGAATATTTAGGCTTGCGGTTGATGTTGACACATGGCAACAATTACCACACTATTTTTGAAGCTTAAGATTATTGTACCATATCCATTTTTCATTACATCATGATACAGTGCAAACAACCTTTCCTTTCCTGCCAGTGAAGTAGCGGTTTACATGTGAGACAATATTGTTCAACATCTCTCGGCTTCGACTGATTCAGCAAGCAATGTCCTTGTTTCTGGATTATTCCTAATGTTAACGCGTCGTATCTTTCATACTATTGTGTAATCTACTAGTACCGATTTTTTGAATTTCCGCTAGCATCTGACATGTGTCTTCATCAAGTAATTTCTCCAATTCTAGGCCTACAAACGTTTTCGGGGAGCATTCTTTATCTCCGAGATTAAAATAATTATCTTTGACTAGTCTTCACTATTGTTTCTAACAAAGCTTGATCACTGTAAATCTCAACAGTGCTTCACCCGGAGATTTATTTTTGAAAAAAATAGTGCAATAAAATTTCCTATCCTTTGCTTGGCACGAAACTCAACATTTTTAATACCACAAAAAAAAAAAATTGTTCATACTGTGGCAAACAAATTTATACTGAAGTCCAAAATTTACAATTATAGCTTTTAGAAAATTGTGTTATCATCTCAAAAGAAACGCACATAGTATTGGTGCTGCCACCTAATAGGAAACAGTGAAAACTTATTGAAGGTCCTGATATTTATTATTCACTACCTCAAAAAGAGCCTGAACTTAATGTATTGAATAATTACTTAAATGTATTGACCTTATTTTTTAATTTATCAAAAACAATAAAAATGTTCCTCAACTACCATTCTGCAGTGCAGATGCAATAAAAGCCAAAGAAGGTGAAACTTTCATCAAAGAAAGTAATAGTGAATCCTCAGCCGCTATTCTATGGCACTACAGCCATAAAAGGACCAGGACCTCCTCTACAATTGTACTCCACTCTTCCTTATCTGTGAGTCTCCTCTATCCTCCGATTTCAATCTTCCTCAATAGCATCAAACCATCTTATTCATGGACATCCCCTAACTCTTCCTCGGCTTTAATGTCCCAGCCACCTCAACTGATTCTTTCTGACAAATGGAACCAGATCTGGAACCATTTCTTTGAGCTCCTCATTCTTTCTTAATCTCCAATTGCAGTTCTCGCGGACAAGTCCATATATTTTTCTAAGTACTTTCCTTTCCCAAACTTTTAACATTTTTTCACTTGCTTTGGAAAGTATCCAAGACTTATAGCCATAAGACACAACCGGCCTAATGACTGTTTCATATAAGATGACTTTAGCTCTATTGGTCAGGCCTTTGAATTTGAAGAGCGTAATAGCACCTGTTTCCAGCAGCTATTGCCTTTACTTCTTCTTGGTGTTCATTCTTTGATGTGAAAAGAGCACTCAAATACTTAAACTGGTTTGCAATCCTGGAGTGGCTTCCAAATTTGATACTTAAGTGATCTTGAAACCTGCCAGCAACTTGACATATCAAACACGAAACCAGAATTTAAAAAAACTTATAAGAATTCTATTTTTCAGGTTAAAAATGAATCAATGAAAACAACATTACATTAATGACCTTCTCTCATCAATAATTAGCTTTTAAATCTACTTATGAAACAAAATAACTAAGCATACATTAAAAGTTAGGCACATTTATAAAATATACAATTGAGACCCGTTAAGTCATGCCCATATAACAGCAACTTTCAATGTTCACTTCACAATAGAAATTCGGATCACCATTATCACATGCATTATTGAAGAAACAAGATAAATAAACAGAGGAATAAACTTATATATTGTAAACAGGAAAGCAGAAATAATGGAGCTTTTTCATTAACAGAATAGGCTGTTGTTTTCAGATAATTGAACAAAATAGATAAATGCTGATACACAATAACTGAATTACTGTTGTTGCTAATCAACAACTAATGAACGGTGATAAAATGACACACAAAGATGTACTATTCATAGAATATTACAACAATTACCTAGTGTTTTCATAAAATTAACCAAAGAGATTATTGTTACCTCAGTTTGGGCATCTGGACTGTACCAGACAAGTATAAGTGTTGTGATGATATTTATAAAAAGTCCAACCATTGTTATCAAATTTGGAGCAACCCAAATTGGTACTTGTCCAACAAGCCAATTCCACCATGGTTGTAAAATGCGATCCAAAATACTGATACTTTCAGAACTATACTTGTGCTCTGCCAGTCGCTTTAACTGGCCTGGTGTAAGAATTTTATTTTTGAAGAACATAATATCCATGTTAAATCGTCAATTACTGACGTCTACAATAAAAAAACATAAAACTCATTCATACTAGAACTATAATATAAAAAGTGTTAAGAAACCATTGGATCCATCTAGACGTTAAGATCATAGATTCGTTACATTTGTTAAGATCTATGCGACATAACCTATCATCACACTACATCCAATGTTGCCATATGCTTATGATCTGATAAAAATTTCTTTTTCATCAATTTATGAAGTTATGAGGAATACCTATTAAAAAACAAACTATGTAATTATTTTTTAAATAACTAAAATAAGTAAAGTTTATTTTATAATAATGTTGTGTATTTATTTGGTAGCTCACATTTTTTTTTTTTAAGAAACCATTAGTAGAATTAAGATTATTAAAGGAGAAGTTATTTTAATAAAAACAAGTCAGTTAAAGAAAAAATAGGACTTCAAGAATAATGTTTATTTACACTAGTCTTATAAATGTAGCCTTGAACGAGAAATAACACTTTGTCCCAAGACTATGTCAACTTAACATGTGTAGGTGATAATGCAAGATAGGATATGTCATTTTATCTAAGGTATTGTCTTTGAGACTAGCTTACTGAAGTGTATTAAAAAATAAATTTTAAAACAATAGCTTTCACGCCCAAATTAATTTTCAGCATATTTTAACATAGATATTACATAATTGATAACAACTGTTTGTAAATTGATAATATTATCTGCTAAATCTTAAGACCAGTTTAACTGGGAATGTTCCAGGAAGCTGTTGAATTAAATTTCAATTCCAACCACTGTACTATTAATTTTTGACACATGTAATTAGAAAAACTTGTTTAATTTTAGGTGTTCGTCTTTTCTACTGTCCCTTTATTTTCTATTAAACATATAAGTAATGGTTTCACTTTTGACATGTCTGACAAGATTCCTAAAAATGAATATAATAGTAATGGCGAAAGGAGAGCTACCCAAGTGAGTTTTTCCAAAAATAAAGATGAAATTAGCATACAAGATGATAGCGAGGATGAAATTACCTTGGCACCGTACATACAGACTTACCTTGCACATAGCGGTAATCAGTTTGGATGTTGTGGTTTTTGTTTTCCTGTGCCTTTTGAAAGAGCTTCAAATAAATCTTGGTGGGATCCAAAATTTGATTCTGAGATACTTGAAAATCAATACAGAAACAGTTCCTTTGCACAAATTAGACTGCGATTTAGGTAAGTTATCTATGAATTATTTTAGTTTTAATCTTTACAATTTTGATTTATTAATTGTTTCATTCTTTTCTGGTCTAGATACTCCTTGGTTTACATGCTAATTCTCTCAATTATATGGTGTCTTCAACTCATAACATTTGGAATACTTGATAAGTCCCAGAAAGATGCCTCACCCCTTGGTGTTATATTTTTTTTGTTTGCCGTGTTTTGTATAATAGTCCTTATAATTACCCATACATCACTTTATAGAAGATATATATTACCTGTTTCTTTTGTAGTATCATTAGTTATGTGTTTACTGTCTATTGCATCAGTTAGTCAATCACCGGTTTTAAGTCCTGCTAGTGATTTTGCTATATGCATTGAAATAATAATGATCATTTATACTGTGATACCATTGCCTTTATATTTGTGTGTCTTGATGGGTGGATTATATTCGGTACTTTTTGAAATACTAGGAACTGGTTATGCCTTACCTATCAGAATCGTTTCACATCTATGTGTCCACTTAATAGCTCTTCATATATTGATCATGACAAATGTCCGTATGCGTGGAACTTTTATGAAAGTAGGGCAATCCCTATTAGTTCGCAGAGAATTAGAAATAGAAAAGGAACTGAAAGAGAAAATGATTCATTCTGTAAGTTACTTATTATTATCATAATTATATTTTAGCTTGTTTAATGAATATATATTATTTATCTGAGCTATTAATTCTAGGTCATGCCTCCTTGCTATGCCAATTGGTTAAAAGAAAAAGAGAAAGAAGAAAGACATAAAAAGGTAAAAGAAGAAAGAGAAAAGAGGGAGAGAAAGAACAGAGGTCATTCAAACAGTTCCTCTGATGCTACTAGGGATCCTGTAGATGTCATAGATCTTTTTAGACCTTTTAATGTAAATTGTATGAAGGTAATTGATTTTATTTACAACTTGATTTTCCGTATAATTAAGATTTAACTGTTCCATAATATTCTATCTCTTTCTGTAAATTCACATTTTTTATAACACTTATTTTACTAAGTCTGTCATAGTTGCTACAAAAAATGGTGAAACACCTAATTATTTCTCTCCTTTCTCTTAATTGTTTGTTTTATATTAGTTGGTAATTTGTCATCATCATCATCATAATCTTATTCTCATTACCACATGTTGGTGAGAGGCTCTGGTTTATCTGTATAATGTCGCCACCTCCATGTATTCCTATCCTCCAACAATTGCCTTTCTTCCCAGCCCAGGTTCTTCTTATAAAGGGTTGTGTTGTATCTATCGATCATCCGTGATTTAACACATGATATCGATTATTACTTTTTCAATTGCAATTTGAATATTTCTTCTATTCGACATAACAGGTTGCCTTGATATTCTGCTCCCATGTAATTCTGGACCTACCTCTAGACTACCTAGTGTGACCCATCCGTCTTGGTCCCAGAAGTCACCTTTAAGGCAGAACAATGGTTTGGTTTTCTAAGGAAATGGCCAAACCACCTCAGTTGAAATTCTCCTTTTACTGTTTGAAACGGATTTATTTATACCAGAACTGGACCTTTTTCTGCCATATTATTCCTATTCCTGTCCCTTCTAGTTCTGTCTTCCATCTTCTTCAGATACCGTATTTTCATTGCCTAAATCTGTCCTTCAAGTTATGTTGTTATTGTCCAGGACTCAGAAAAATATGTAAATAGTTGATTTATACGCATTTACTTGAGTATTCTTGATCTTTTCTATTGAGGAAACCTTAATTTAAGGCCAAAAACAAATGTCTCGTATTGTGGATTTATAGTTTACTGTAGTGAATAATTGAAGAGAAGATTGGTTGAGATGATCAGGAAAAAATAAATAATTATATTTATTTTATTTTTGCCAACGTTTCAGCCTAAAGTTCAGAGCTGGTGAAACGAAGGGTTCGGCAAGACCAAGGGAACCCTTCGTTTGACCAGCCCTGATGAATGCCTAAACTTTGGGCTGAAACATCGGCAAATAAAAATAAATATAATTATTTATTTTTACTATTTTTTTATTGATCGCCCCAACTATTCTTCTCTTCAAACTTCTTCTAGTTATGATGAATTTTTTAGTGTTTGTAACCCAGGGGTCCAATTCACTACAAATCATCCAGAAAAAGTTCAATTTGTCACCCACTACCCTCAGATCTTTATGAAAATTTATACACATTGAGATCTGTGTATTTCCATGATATATATATATATATATATATATATATATTTTTTTTTTTTTTTTTTTTCTTGGGTATCTCTTTTTCTCTACGATAACCTGGTTCACATTTTTCTTAAGAAAAATCCAACTTTTTGACTCATAAAGAAGCACAGGCAAGAATGCAAACTCTTGTTATGCTTTGTCTCGTTGGTTACTTCGCATTTGCCCCTCAGTGTTGAAGATCTTCAGAAGACTAAACAATTTGCCACTCTTATTGTTCTTTTCAACATTTTTGGTCTATTTGTTCTTCTCTATTATGGCAGTAGCCAGGTAATTAAAATTATTCATCACTTCAAGGTTCTATCCAAACTTCAGTAAAATATCTTAAACCTAAATTCTTGAATGAATGGAAAAAATAATCTTCCAATTGACCCCCATCATTGTCCTGAATACTTAAAATGGTATTAAAATATAAATAACTTCATTTAAGATATTAGTTTGAAACTTTTGACTTAAATAAATAAATATATAATGTGAATATGTATGAAATTTTTTTCTGCAATAAAATTCTCATTTTATGGTATGGAGATGATTGATTGTAATTATAATTTGAGAAGAAATTGGTCGGGAGTGCAGTTAATTTACAGTATTATATATTTACCATCTTATTTTATATTTAAAATTAAAATATATGTATTTATTGTTAGGCAAATATATCTGATTTAAAATTAATTAATCTGATTGAAAATTAATATAAGTGTTATTGAAGTTATAGTTAAATGTTTAACTAAAACAAAATGGTAAAGAATTGTTTCAACCAATGCATATATGAAAACTTTTGTTTGCCACTGTAAATACATGAGAGCCTTTATATTATAGCCTGTGTAATAAAATCTCTTTGTTTCTTTTCATTGTTATATACATTTGACTCATTCATGCATTATAAATTTAACTTACTATATATATATTTAATTTTTTTTACAGGATGTTAGTATTTTATTTGCTGATATAGTTGGCTTTACTCGAATGTCATCAAAGAAAACAGCTTCTGAGCTTGTCTCAGTCTTGAATGTTTTGTTTGAGCGTTTTGATCGTCTTTGTAGTGAAAACTATTGTGAAAAAATCGCTACTCTAGGGGATTGTTATTACTGTGTCTCTGGATGTCCGACAGCTAACTCACGTCATGCACACTGTTGTGTTGAAATGGGTTTAGGTACTATATATATATAATATCTTTTTTAATTTGTTGTTTGTAATTTATATTGTGATTAATATTATTATTCTTTTAGGAATGATAAAAGCAATCGCAGAATTTGATCGAGAAAAAGAAGAAGATGTCAATATGAGAGTGGGTGTTCATACAGGAACTGTTTTGTGTGGGATTGTTGGGCGGAGAAGATTTAAATTTGATGTTTGGTCAAATGATGTCGCTCTTGCTAATAAAATGGAATCCACTGGCAAACCTGGTCGTGTTCATATTTCACAAACCACTAAAAATTTTTTAGATGACACTTACGTATTTGAAGATGGAGATGTTGTTCAAGGTGATGGAGCATTAACATTATTATTTTTTATGTATTGCGATCGTGAAAATTTTTTAATCTGAGTTTTCAATGGAAATACACGTTTTGAGGTCCCTTGAGTCCAATTAACCAACTCCCAAAAAATGGTCTGTGTGTTTGTATGTTAGCAGTCTAGCTCAAAAACGAAAAGTCGTAGGAAACTGATATTACGTATTTAAGATAGATAAATGCCTTAGATGTGACAGCAACTTTTTCCTTAAAATCGGCTAACCGGAAGTGCCACTTTATATCAACGGTGAAACACATTTTTACAATTTTCTCAAAAATGGCTCTAATGATTTTGATTAAACTCGGTGTACCATTGTATAATTAAGTGGTCTTTAAGATTTATGTCTTACCCCCGTTGATGTCACTTTACAAGGCTTAAATGCCCAATGTTCAAACGTGTCTTTCTCTAAAGTAGCTTTAATATGGTTTATTTTAAATAATTAACTATCTCTCATTATTAAGAGTTACGAAAAAATGCTAAATATTACTTAAAAGAATTTGATAATTGAACATAGAAGAGGAAAATAAAAATGCTTATCCAGGTTGAAAATTAATCTCTGGAAATACTTGTAAGAAGGTATGCATATAATATATCGGAAAGCGCAGAATTTCAGGAAAAACAATATCTAATATAGAAAGTTGGAGAAGGTAACGGAGAGTGGCAAAAAAATTATAAATGATAATTTTTGAAAACTAATAATATTTAACTTAAATAACATGTTTTCAAGGAAATTAAATGAAATTTGCTAACTAAGTGTAAACTTTTAAAATATTTTTAAGTTTGAAAAAAGTATTTAAAATCCACCTAATCAAGGCAATGACATTGTTTAAAAAACTATTTCATTGTACTTGTGTGAAAGAAGAAGTAAAATATTAAATCATTTTATGGATGTGTTAAGCATATGTTTATATCCTTAAATACATTTACTGTAGTTTAATAATTCTAGATCTCATATTATATTTAAATAATTAGGTATCAATGTCAGTTTATTTCGAAATCTTGTCGTATAATTTTTTAGAAAATTTAATTAGTGAATAATTTGATGAATTTTCCCTTTGTGATATTCCAACAGTATCCACTACTATTTCATTGTAATGTGTGAAAGAAGGAGTAAAATATCAAATCATTCCATGGATGTATAAAGCATATGTTTATAACCTTTAATACATTTACTCTGTAGTTTAATAATTCTAAATCTGATATTATATTTAAATAATTATGTATCAACGTCTGTTTATTCCGAAATATTCTCAGGTAACTTTTTAGAAAATTATAAATTAATGAATAATTTGATGAAATTTCCTTTTGTGATATTCCAACAGTATCCACTTACAATTACTGTGGAAATTTTTGACCTGTATATGACAGACAATGTAAATCTCTTAATTCCATTTTAGTAAACTTTGCAATGAAAAATAACAGTTTAATAACTAATAGTCGTACAATCCCTAATCAACGGATTATACAATGCATAATCAACCTGTGATATAATAAATAGAACTTTAGTTATTTTAATGGTATTTATGATTTGTTAGCTGTAATTGTTTAGCTTCAGCCTGATTAAATATGCTATTCACAAATTTTATAATAGCGCAACATGGCCAGAAAATAATTTCTATTCAAAGTTGAGCGGTAAGTGAAAGCCGTGACTTGGGCGCACCAGATTTTTTAGCTTTAGCTCAGTTAAAAATGCAATTCAAAAATTTTATAATAGCCTAACATGGCCAGAAAATAATTTCTATTCAAAGTTGAGCAGTAAGTGAAAGTTATGTGTTGTACGCACCAGATTTTTTTTTTGTCTTTTTAGCTTGTTATGTGAGCTTTCAGGCTTGCTGACTAGCTAACAGCTCTTTACTTTATTTGTCAAGTTGAATTGTAATTAGTGAAATTTTACAAACTTACATTTAAACAACCCGTTTTAATTATGTTTTGTCATACAATCAATTATTCCCAATATTTAAAATATACTTTTTTTCTTGTATTAAAAAATATAAATTATATTTTTTAAATAATTTACAAACAATTTTTGTACTGAAAATATGTGGATCATTATTTTAAGGAATAGTTAGCTGCCTACATTGTAGTTCGAAACTTGGTGTTAAATAAATATTACACCAACATAGCATGTGTGTGATTGTTGACCACACCTCCGACTATTTATCCCTTTAATTAGAACAGTCAATCATTTCCGTAGCATTGGGAATCTTTATTATATGATTCTACTTTCAATTTTATATGATCATTAATTGTTCCTATTGTTTTATTTAATAATCCCTAAATTGTTATTTTGGTTCTGATAGTAGAAATTAAGTAGGTTTTGCAATAAGATACATTGAGATTTACTTTCTAAGGCTAAGAATAAATACTAATTTTCATTAGTTAGTTTTAATTATGTAAGTTTTCATTTAATCACTCTTTTTAGCTTGAGCTGTTGATGCTGAACATTTTCTAGACAATCTGTCAATTGAACTTCACCATATATTAGATTTCCTTATTTTAAAATAATTTAATATTTAATATTTACTAATGTTATGATATTTTCATGTTCAAAAATATCTGGTATCAATCTTTTCTTGTTGTTTATTTATTAGTTTGTGTTTTTTTTTAAATATAGGTATGGGAACATATTTTATTGTTGCACCAAAGGAATTAGTGCCGTCTCAAATAGGTTCAACTCAGCTGACTGTCACCTCACCTACACAAACAATGCCTAGTGATCAGTCAGGAAATTTTCCTTCCTTTGAGACAGCCCTCGCTTCTCAGTTACAGTCAGAATCTTTGACCACAGCTCATTCACATCAAAAATCTAACAATGTCAACTGTACTATCTCTCCATTCGACCATCTGAAGGATTCTGATCTGTTTAAAGATGAAAATTCAAGCCAAGGTACTTTTTTCATTTATTGTAGAAAAGTAAAATAAAAGCAATAATTTAATAAACTGATCTCTATTTAAATGATTTTCTTTTAATTAGCAAATCATGTTTACTTTTTTGTTCTGTTGGTATTATTTTATATAGATTATTTACTTGTTATATATAGCTTTTAATAATAGAAAAAATTGTTCTCTTTTATGTTTTAAGCTGCTCAGAACATTTGGTAGATTTATTTTTTCAACATTTTTACCTATACCAGTATTATTTGACAGCTTAGATGAAATAGCATGTCCATCCTCCCCCAATGGACATATAACATCGTGTCTTAATTAGATCTATTGGGTGATATCTTAGTTATCCATGTACAATCCTATGTTTTTACACAGTTAATTTATTAATTTACAAAGATGAGGTTTGCAATATGTCCATAGCCAAAATACTTCCATGCACATCTCACTAACAAATAATGTGATTAGTAGTTTCATCTTCTAAATTACAGAATTTGTAAATTGAGGATTCTAATACTTGTATATTGATAATTTATTTAATCTATATTGACCAGCTTATATTATTGTATTCTTCCTCAAGGCTGTTTTACACAGTCAAATTTCTTGATCAAAGCTATGGCCTAGAAATATGTAGTAAGTATTTTCTTTTTCTACCAACAGGAGTGGGAATCACAACTGACTTTATAGAACCATTTTACTTGGTTAAGTTTCTCTATCAAAGTCAACATTGTAATTAACATACAACTTTACTTTGAATGTTATTTGTTATTTAGGTTAACAAATTTATGATTGAATTATCATTTTCATTAATTCAACTCTATATATGGGATGTCCCATGAATTATGGAAAATATTTAAAAAAGTGATAGTAAACCTCAAGAGCCTCGAAAGTTTATTAATAAAAGTTAAGCAGTGTAATGTTATAAAGAGATCATTTATCTCTTATATCAATCAGTTTTAAAACTTGGTCATTGCTCCATCTCAATATTTTTACAATAAAAAATAAATGCTAAGTCACACCGACAATAACATAATAGAAAAATGACAGGACATCCTGAAGAATATTATCTTTCCTGAATACAAGGAGTGTTCATCGGCACAGACTTTTGGTTTTGATTAGAGGGGGGTGAAGGAAAAAAAAAATGGCTAGAGTTTTTATTATTTGTAAAAATTCAACATAATTATTGTGAAAAAAGCAAAAATAACTTTGAAAATTTAAAATTAATGTTGTTTACATATTTGTATAGTTGTAAGGATATATTTTTTTTATTTCTTTTGTTTTACTTATTACATAAACTTAAAAATATCTAAAAAAAAAATCAATTGAATATATAATATATTTGATTAGATTAAACTCAAGGGGGAGGGAAGACAGCCTTCATAAAATCCTAGGATATGTAGCTATGACAGCTGTTAGTATAAAGGCCGGTCCAGACGCTCCGTTTTGCACAACGTTTTGTCTGTGCACTCTTAAGACGGAATGAAAACGTTGCAATTTTTATAGCGTCCATACGGCACAGAGATATCTGTATATTTTGCTCAGTTTTCTGTGAGATCGTCATGGAGGAGGTACTACTCTAGTCGATTTCGCGAAGTATCTTGTTAAAAAAAAATATATTGGAACATCTCAGAAGTAGCCGGCGTTCAAAGTGATCGTGGAAGTGTCTTCTAAAAAGGCAGCACTTTTCCCATATCAAATTATTACGTGAATTACGTGATGAACCTATTGATTGGCGGAACTACTTGCGAATGGACATTGACACATACTTATTTATTGGAATTAGTGCCTTGGTGTCTCCTAATCATTCAGGAAATTTAATAAATCAAAACACCAGACAGGTGGCTTGTATATTTCGTCTTCTCCAGCCCCAGATCGAATCGATTTATTTATTTTACCCAATTCTTTTCGATACACACTTCTCAATGAATTTATTTTTTTCACAACTGTCTCCTGGTTTGCCGTTGCATCAATTTCTTTAAATGTATTTGCTAAGATTTCATACGCTTCCCCCTTCTTATCCCTGTCACTGTATTCTTTTGATTTAACACGCCAAATGCACGGGAAACTTTCATATAAAACAATAAAATCGGTTAAAAACTCCCTAGAACATTACCAAAGGTCAGCCATTGTCGCCTGACAAATTGAAACTGAGTAACAAAATGAATCAGAAAACGGTTCTACCGTCCACATGCGCCAGCTTGTTTGCACAGTTCAAGGAAATCTATGCTCTCTGGCTCAGTTTTACTAAAACTACCTTTTTCGAAATGGATTCGAAACTGCACAGTTTTCCAGTCTATAAGCTACGTTTAATCTGCAACGTTTTGAACTGCACAGACAAAACTTTGTGCAAAACGGAGTGTCTGGACCAGCCTTAAAGCTCATGGCACTTTTTTTTTTTTTTAAATATTGTTATTTTATAACGGCCATTTTTTTTTTTTTTTTTTTTTTTTTTTTTTTTGTGTTTTCTTGAAGAATCAAATCATTTTCTACACAACTAACAATATAAATTTGGTTAGTTCTTCTTTTGTGTAATTTTACCTTTTGTCTCTTCTGTTATGAACATCAACCTTTTCTCGGGGTTATGACTCTTCTTATTCTGGATCTATCTTGTACATTACTTTTTTATTCATTAATTAGAATTTTTTGTTTTTAATACTTATTTGTATTTTTTCCTCTAATTTTCACATCTTTCACCTTTCTTGTGGATAACTCCTTTCCACTTGTGCCTATGTCAAGCTGTTAGTAAGAATAAGCCATAATCATGTTATCATCTCATATCTATATTCTTCTATAGCAATTTCTATTCCATATTTTTTTTAATAAACTCAATAATTCTGTTCTCTTTATTAAAAACTTATGTTGAGACATTTTTAAATTGTCCTATTCTCATTTTTCATATCATGATTTACTCTGTATCAATGATCAGAAATTATTTTAAATTATCTTAGTAGGAGTCTAGACCCCTTCTTATTAAAATTTTGTGAATGGATCATATTGTGACTTACTAGTTTTTTATTTACCAAAATTATCGGGGACAGATTATTTTCAATTTAGAGATGGGTAAACTTTGTCTATTAATGAGGTACTGAAAGTTCATAAACACCCATTTACTTTTCACTTGAATCGTCAGATAATTTGATTACATAATTGAGAAAAAAGGTGCCCTACAAGAATATCAGAACATTTGGTGTCGCCTCTTCTCCCAACATGTTATAATAACAAGATTATATAGGCCAAACGGTTCAGCATTTTTGTATACCACCCTTTTTCTTGATTTTGTGATCAAATTATATTAAGATTCAAAAACACAAATGGGCATTCATGATTTTTTATCACCTCATTAAATTTATTAACTTAATGAGAAAACACTTCATTTAAAAGAATTTTCATGAGTAAAAAAGTTGTAGGTTATGCTGATATGAAGCCGTTCATAAAGTTTTAAATGGATGCTTTGTGAATTGATAGATCAAGTCTTTAGAACTTCGCAAAGGCATCTGGCCTAGTTAACAGAGTTTGGAACGACGCACAATAGGCCTCAATGAGGCTGCGGTGTATTCTTTTGTCATGGGAAAAAAAAATTGATGAAAAAGGGTCTTTACCGCCAACTTTCTATTTTTTTTTTTCTCTCTACAATGCACACTCCCAATTATTGAAGTATTGAGCCGATACTTTTTATATTCAGTACTATATTATATATTAGTTAAGGGTTATAATATCCGATCTTGGTGAAAGGAAGGGAGAGTTGCCTTAAATGGGACCACTAAATTTTATTACCACTTCTACCTAATATCTTAAAAATTTGATTTTCCTGAAATTTATCAGTTTGCTATCAAAACAATAAATCAGTAACAGATATGATTTTAAATTTATTTCAGTTCAAATGCTTTTACTCCTTGTATTTAATTTGAACAAGTCTTGGATTTGCTTATGATATATTTTGAACATGAAAAAACAATCTTTATAAATTGAAATGTTTTCAATACAATTTAGTATAAAAGTATACTTGTCAAAACATCAAATGTTGGACTAAAGTGATTTTAAGTGTGGCGAGGTTTACAGTCTGTTTGATAGTATTTAAATATCACTCACGGTAGAAGAATTAACAACCATAGCTAAATTCACTTAAGTTAACCATTTAGTTGGCTTTAAGGTGTCTTGCTTTATAATATTTTTGGCAACTATCCTAAGATTGTGGTTGCTTTATGTTACGTAGTAGAGGATAAGTTATTTGGTGGTGGATACTAGATTCCTAATGTTTTCACTTACATAATATTTCATTTGTAATATCTTAGCTGCATTCAAAATATTGAAATAGATGATGAGTGAAAGCATTTCATGCCTAACTTTTGTTCACTAACGCTATCTATATTAGCATTATTTTCTTACTGAAGACTAATTACACCTATACTTGATGAGAGTTGATGCTTATTAGAACGGGTTACGGTAAGTACTAATTGCAGTAATGGCTGATTAACATTTATTGTTTGCGGCTCTGATAGAGTGCAGCTCTGAATGATTACAGACAGGAATGCCGCAGCTAGAGGTGACATCAGTTATTGTTAAGATTAACCAAAGCTATGGTTGAGGTCTAACTTGAAGTATATCAGTTCTTGTTCTCTGTTCGATTCCAGGGAGTGGACTATAGTTGACATGACTTTCAGGCAAAGGACAATTTTATTTCCTGTAGTGGCATCCATTAGATTTGTCAAATTCAATGGTAAATCTTATCATATTATTGAGTTTTAATTTATTATACATTATTTGGATGCTTAACACATTTCTATAGTTTAGAAATGATAATGAGCAATGTTGTAAGCTTTGTATTGTTTTTACTATATTCAATTATGTTTTAACAGCTTTTTGTTAGTTCATTACTGATCAGAGTGTTAATGGCCTCTTCTCTCTCTTTAATTTATGTGCAAAAATAATTAAATTAAAATTGAAGAATAATGAAATTAATTTGTTAATGTCTTAAACCAAATATTTAGTTACTATAATTCAAAT